TCTAAATTAATTCTTACACTTTAAAATCGATTTTATTGGTTGTATTTCTATAATACAAGAAGATCGTAATAGTCTTATGTTAAGATTTCTTGATTATAAGATCTATGAAAGCTTTAAAATATTTACCAAATTTATTGCATAATCGTTCTAATTATTTTGTATATAAATTCTTGTTCGAAGTTCGATTAAACATAAATTCTTTTTGAAGTAGACTCTGTTTAAGTTTTCTTTATGGCTCATCTCCGAATCCCAGCTAAGAATACTAAAATTTTTAGCATTTTACTTCTGCAAATAAAAATTATTTTGTGTAGGGCTTCCTTTCAGATAAGATCCCTCTGTTCGGTGACTGATTTACAAGAGACTTGCCCCGAAGCCCCAACGCCACAATGCAAATAAGCTCCACTTCCAACCGATTTCTGCGAGGGACTGGGATTCCAGTCCGCGAGACTTTGACATTTGAATACGCGCCAGCGTTTTGTTATTTTTATATTTTCAAATTAAAAAAGCAAGGCTCTTTTACCGCCAAAGGGTGGCTGGGCATTGGGGAAGGTGTTCAGGGGGTTGTCTTCTCTTCGGGGTGACAAAATCGCAGCGTTTTCGTACTTTGCCGGGGGTTCATCATCATCATTGCTGGCTGCTGCGCGTGAGAAATCCTTGACACGCGCGAACGCTTTCAAAATGCAAAAATAAATAATTTCAATTTAAATTCCTTGTTATTTTATTTTTGTTTTCTTTTTTCGTACTTTATTTTCTTTAGAATGTGTGGAGGTATGAGGTGTTTTTTTGGAGGGGAGGAGGTGCAATTGTAGATAGAAGTAAAACATAAGTTTTCTCTTTGTTCCCGTTTTGATTTCATTCACTTGCTAAGGGTGAGAGTGGTTTAACTTCATCCCCTCGTCATAACATTCATAATTTTAGGTTGACGAAATTAATTAGATTTCCCAAGGGTAGAGCAGGGAGTTTAATCTAAAAGTAGAACCATAATTACAAAAGGAACTTGATTTTAATTGGGAGTTTATATTTAAATTTACCTATTTAAATTTGATTTAAGTATTAATTTTATTGTATTTTTACTTACTTTAAGCAACCTTTAAAAATAAATTGTTCCACTTGAAACCTCTTGCCTTTTTTGCACCTTCGTCTGTCTTTAATTTCGCAATTAAATGCTTAACTTTTATGGTTCGCGGTAAGCCAACTACCGAACCGGCGGCTACTGTATGCTGGCCACAGAAATGTGCACTCTTTATGGTGCATTCCGAATTGTTTATTGTTTTTTTGCCATTTGTTTTCTGTTCCTTGTTTTCTGCGCTCTGTTTATTGTGCGTTGTCCGTGAATGGCCTATTCCTATCGCTTTCGCAGCCCCAAAAGTGGGTGGCTATCAGTAACTGGCTGCGGCTAAGCCAGCTTGTCAATTTTGTATAAAATTTATTATTTTATTTGCGTCAGGTTTTCGTTTTTGTTTTGCCCCAGCCACTGCCACTTTTCAGACACTCTGCCTGCTGCGAAAATTATTTACATTTTGCCGATTGCGCCAGTTTTTGCATTGCCATTGCTGGGAGGTTGGCCTGTCGTAAAGCGAACTGTTTGCCCTCGCCCGAGTACTCCAAAGCGTACGAGTGTACATCTATATATGTATATCTTTACACATAGCGCTCTGGAGAGGGCTATAAAACTTGCATGGCACTGCAACAGCCGCAGTAACAGCCAGAAATGTTTGCTCAATTTACGATCACAGCGGCTGACGGAGGTGCCAACTGTTGCATGTGGCCCCAAAGTGGCCAGGGTCATTGGATTTCCGATCCGAAGATCGAACATAATCTCCCCCGTGGTTTGAAACCATTTAGGCGGGAATACTAATCGAATTTGGCAGCTGATTGTCCGCCGGCTGACCAGTTGACTCACAGTCATATGATGATGATGTCCCATGGCGATGACAGCCGCCGGACACTTTGTTGACAGGTCTAGCTAAAAAGAAATATAAGAGTACAACAAAAATCACAAAAAAGAAATATATTTGTATAAGCAAAAGATAGAGAGAAGAAGCGGGGTCTTGAGGGGCATGCCCAGGGAACCCAACTTGACAACGCTGCGTATGAGTAATGCAAAGCGAACCATGAACCAAATTCCAAATGGCTGGCTAAAATTCAACTCAACGGCAAATGAAGCAACAAAATTCAGCAGCAGCAGCCGCAGATTAAGAACCTTTTAAGGGGATTAATGATTTTAATTTTTTCCGTGCATTCTGTTTGCCTCGCTTCCGTTTTTCTGCCAGCAGACTTTCAACAGGGCGTATATACTTGCTGATTGACTTTGGCCGGGGGGTTGGAAAATGGTACAAAATATGTATCAATAAGGTAAAGAGGAATAAATTAATAAGCTAGAAACATTTGGCACTAGGAAAGGAATATGCTGATTATTATAATTAATATGTAAACAAAAGAATATGTAATAAATATGAGAAAACAAATATTTCCATAAAGTTTTATTATGCTCAAACATATTACAGTGACTTACTATCAATTTTAAGATCATTAATAACCTATTTAAATTATTTAATGGTATTTAAAATGTGATTTAAAATTGCAATTCTTTTTAGTAAACTTTTTTTCTATTAAAACTCTTTAGAGTATTTCCCATTCGATAATCGGCGTGCCAACAGATTTCTTTCATTTTTTCTGGCACTCTGTGGACTGCTCTAGGTCCCCCTTGCTGGCACATTTGTTTGCTTTGCCATTGCCGTTGCCACTGCCGTTTGGCCTGGCTAAATGGCCATGCCCGGCAAGGACATGCATGCCGCTCGCTTTCGTTGGCAACACGGCCACTTCCGTTTCCGCCCCGTCCTCTCCTTTGTCACCGGATTTTCGGTTTGTTTGTTGCGCGCATTAAGCTAATTATGGCCAAATAAAGTGAGACGAAACGAAGCGCGCGCTCCGAGCAAATAAGAGAGTCTGCCGGAGAGGCTGTTTCCTCTAACCAGGATCCTATGTCCCGCACTTAACTTTCACTGCTCTCCGCAATCCCTCCCCCTCTTGGCTGCGGTCGGGGGTTTTTTGATTGTTTTTCAATTTTCTGCATTGTTAAACTTTTGCTTCCCATGTTGCGCTTTGTTTAATTTACCGCCTGCGGCACGTGACAAGTGCACCAGGCAGCGCCACCCGGCACGTGTCCTTGCCGAGCCGAGAATGGAGCAGGAGTTCCAGCTGCCGCCTTTGGCAAATATTTTGCTAGTGCCTCAACCAAATCAATTCTGTATGCTCGTCCAAATGGAATACGAATGAGAGTCAGATGGTGTCCTTGCACCACCAGTGACCACCAGCTACCAGCTTCCAGGACTCCTCCCCTTCCTGATGGTCACGTGTCGCAGCAGCAGCAGCAATCGCGCCTCTTTCGCTTTGTCTGCTAATCTATCACAAGCGCTGGCACCAAACCAAATTGAGTTTGTTTGGATATCATTTCCATTGACCAGGACACGGACTCGCAATCCGAGTGGAGGAGGAGCAGGAACCATACCCGGATGCTACCTGCCAGAGCCGTCTTTTGCCACTTGTGGCCTTTGCAGAAACTGTTTCTTTGTAGGCACTGGAAGAAAATAATAGTACCAAAATAAGAAAACATTGGGAAAGTAAATTGGAGGAATAAAACAATATGTAATAAGCAAGTAAGTGACTTTTTTAAGAGGTTTTTTTACCTCCTTTTCACATATAAACTAATGCATTAATCAATCTATAAATTATTATAAAATGTATTGTAATTTTACCCTTAAAAATATATATTTAAATATTTCAAACAGCTATCACATTTTATATTTCTTTATGGTTTACCTTACTCCCATGAACTTGCTTATTAATTAGTTATAAGACACCTTAGTTTTGTAAGATTAAAATGTATTTCGGAATATATATATCATTTAAGTTTTTCCCAGTGCTTTTGCCCTGGTTTTCCCACAATTTCCGGGCGCGTTGACGTCAATCAAATTAGACGCATCCCAGAACGTCCCAGCGCCGGCCAAAGTTCACACATCAAATTATGTCAGGGGTGAGTTTTCCCGCCTCCCCTGTACACCCCATCCTGCCTTTTGCCACCCCCTGGTAACGTCCTTGCTAACTTGCGATTTGCGTCTGTAAATGTTTTCCTAATCAGATTTGTGTGCTATCCGCCAGGGAGTGCAATTTGTTTTGATGTCGCACTCGCAATCCGTTTAAGTGACAACTGGGTATGGGTATTGGGTGTTGTTCGGGGAGTTTGCATAATTACTCGAGTGTTTGGATAGCAGAAGCAGCAGCAGCCTTTTGGCCGGAAAGTTCCCGGCCAGAGTTCCGTTCACATGACACCCATAACTCACTCAGTACTCACCTCTGGGCCGGCAATTGTGATCGATTGGTTTTAAAGTCTGGCCATAAACTAAAGCAAACAATAATCGCTGGCGTTGTAAATGTTTATGAAAGTGCAACTGCAGTTGCATCGCCAATCGATTTATTGCCGCGATTCGTAAGTGGGTGAGTTCCTATACCAGACACCGATAGGAATCGTCATGATTTCAGGGCCACTTTCAGCTCCTTTCCACATTTTTTTTTTCCAACCGGGAATTACTTTTTAAGCCCTTTTGCGTTCCGTGGATTTTTATTGATTTGCGAAAGATTTTGCCATTCTAATTGATTGTTTGCCATTCCGGCGGAATGGAGGCGAGTCGGCGTCGTAACTGCTTATCTATCTGGCCGCTATCGATCTAGCTATCTATATAGATAGTTAGATACATATCTAGTGGCGGCTGTTCCTGCTCCGATTCGAGTTATCTAACGCATAATATCCACTTGGATACACGGCCAATGGGACCGCAGCTCCTCCACCGGCCCATTTGTTTGCCGTCGCATTTATTTGTGCATTACAGACCGTAAGCACACTTAAGTTTCCTCTAAGCTCTGGCGCCGCTCCATTTTGCGAAAAGCAGAAAAAAAAAACATTGAAGAAAAATGTTGGAAAATATGAAAAAGGCTGAAAGAAAATACGTGCACTTGGATTCATATAAAAATAGTTGTAGAAAAAGAGCGCAGACGAATGGCGCCATTTGTTGATATCTGCTGGTGGGTCATTTTATTAAATCAAAAATTATTAAAAACACAAACTCAGTAGTAACCTAAATAAATCACCTGTTCACAGTGCACTTGAATACTAAACACTGACTCCAAAGTTACTCAACACACATTATGGTTGTAGCCCTGTGAAATCAATTGTTAACCAAAGTAGATGATGAGAGGATGATGGAACTAATTGTTTTGGCAAAGGTTCCATTCGGAAAAATTATATAATTAGTTTGGTTTTTTTTTTTTTTTTTTTTAATAATGTTTAGTATATAAGTTAGCAACGCAATCATATATATACTTAATTTAAATATTTAAACTCTATTTTTATTTTTGAATTTATGTTTTGTTGATTCTGTTGTGGAGTTTAATCGATAATGTTGTTTTAATAACCCCATATTATTGTTCGGTTTTTGTGATTTCAAAGCACAAACTTCATTTTTCGTTTCTATCCCTCACATTCAAGATGAGTTTAAAATTAGTGAAAGCTATTATTCTCCTTTGTTTGTTTCACGAAGTAAGATATATTATCCTTAAATTAGCAGGAGTTTTTATAATTTTAACTCCAATAGTAAAGCCTTAAAATAAGCAAAACTTCAACTACTTCTTTGGTTTAAAAAAATTTTTAACAAACTCATTTCAGATCATTGGCAAAGTGGAGTTTTCCAATCTTAAATGCACTTCCTGGGATCCCGAGTGGGTTGACTTCGAGTATTGCTATCTGAAAGCATATAATCGTACTTTCAGGTACCTTTCCCTGAAAGCTAAACTTTACAAATTACCCGTTAAGGAAATTAAGGTTGTATTTAAAACAAATCTATTCAATTCTTTGTTTTAAACTGTTATTTTTTCAGGTGAACTTTGCATTGTTGAAGCGATTTGGGGGCCTGAAGACAACTCTCTACAACATTACTATAGATGGTTGCAAATTTGTAAAGGATGAAACGAAAGCAAATCCAATCATAACATATCTCTACGGTTTCTACAGAGTTTACTCCAATATTAATCATACGTGTCCTTACGATGTGAGTTCGCTCAGAGGATCCCTTCTAAGAGCCTGCAAATGAAAACTTCTATATTTTCAGCATGATATTATTATGGAGAAAATCCCTGCCACCGTTTTCGACACACAATTCTCTGAGATTCTTCCATTCGCTCGTGGGGAATACCTCTTTAAGTCAAATTGGATTTATCAAAGCAACAACAAGGCCTCCGTTCATGTATATCTTTCATATACCTAAAAAGCTGAACAATTGAAAATTGTTCTTAAATTTCCAAGTATGAATTTACTTGAATAAATAATACCAATAAATTAAAAATTAGGATTAAGAAAGTCTTTAATTTTTATATTCCTATTGTAACTACCAGAGAGGTAAGTTCTAAATATTTTAAGACCATATATCAAGTGATATCGAATATTGCTTTAAATGTAAAAACCTTTAGGTGACCTTTATGAGTTAATTAGCTGAAATATTCAAAAACTACGATAAGTACCAGTTTTTAAATGGGGAATTATATATTAACCAGACCGTAAACGATAGAACTTACAAATTGGCAAACGCAAATCAAACAAACCATTGGAACGTAAAGCATTTAAAACATTTAATTGTCAATTATACATAAATAAAGTAATTCCGCTGCAAAAAGTCAGATCTGTGGAACAAATTTTGGATATTTAGAATCACTCCCAATCGAATAGCAAGTCAGTAAAGTCAATTATTAAAAGTTCGAAACCTTTGAGTTGTATACGAGTTTTATATATAACTTAGAATGGACTTCAAGTACATTATTTTCCTTATTATGGTGCTCTATTCAGTCAAAGAAGTAAGAATATATTTATAAATAAACATTTTTCCAATAACCAACCATATTTTTAGATAAAATCCAAGTTCGAATTTACAAACATCAAGTGCACATCTTTGGACAAGGAATTTGACGACTTTGAATACTGCCGCATCAAGTCGGTCAATCGCTCCTTCAAGTACATTTCCCTTAAAGTGAAAATGTACAAGATCCCTGTTCACAATGTTAAAGTATAAACTTGTACACCAAAAGCAAAAGTTTATAGCTTAATGCTTAAATATTCTAGGTAAATTATGCATTGCTCAAGAGGTTCAATGGCTACAAGCCTTTTCTGTACAACATCAGTGTGGATGCCTGTAAAGTTCTAAGGAATCCCAAGTCAAACCCAATATTTGTATTCTTTCACGGTCTTTTTCGCAGTTATTCCAATATGAATCACACGTGTCCTTACAATGTAAGTAGAATTATTAATTATTAAATATACTTAAACTAATTCAAATTGTCTTCACCTCCACAGGAAGATCTCATTGTGGACAAGCTATCAGCAGAGTTTATTAACAAGCAATTCACAAGGGTTTTGCCGTTTCCGCTAGGAGATTACCTATTTAGCTCGAACTGGATAGTAGATGATGTTAACCGTGCAGAGGTGAACGTCTATGGAACTTTGTCATAAAGTACCTTTACGGAGAAGAATATACCAAGATCTATAATAAATCTATAATAATAATAAAAAATGTTTTCCATCATGACTCATCAACCAATTTGCTGTAAAGGGATACTAAAATTCGAAAAATATTTAAAAATATAGTTTTGGGAATATCCCCAAAATGAAATTTAAGAGTCATTTAACTGAAACTTTTTAAACTAAAAATCTGAATAGGCATATAAATTATACGAGTCATTAAACATTATCATTTAACAAAAAAGAAGTTTATTTTGGCCTCAAAATCACACACAGAGTCAGTTGTTATTACAATAATCAAAAATAATATATTATTATAGTAGTACACTAAAAATTTTAAGACTTAGGAATATTTTGTGTTTACGTGCTTTTTCGTTTAAAATCCATGAGGTTCGAATTGAAACTAAGGAAGTGGTTCGTTATTATTATAATTCTTATTTTTTCATTTTTATACGCAAAGTAATAATTGAAATCTAAATTATATATAATGTGAAAATAATGATTTATTTCTGAATTAGCAAAAATATATTCAACAAAGCAATTAAGCAAATTTAGTTATATAAAAATCTTTGGGTCCAAAAAGCTTTTTTTAAATAAAGATTATTGAAAAATTAACCTTTCACCGTGACAGTAACAATGTGTTCGCGGCGTATTCTTTTTGTTGAACTTTTGATTGTTTTATATAACTTTAAACAGGTATGTCCATTGCATACCTTAACAAATATATTAAATTTAAGGCAATTTTTTCAAGATCTTAGCGGCAGTGGAGTTCACCAATGTCAAATGCACTTCGTTAGACCCAAAATTCGCCGACTTTGAGTACTGCATAATGAAGTCGGTGAATCGCAGCTATAAATACATCTCCGCAAAAGTAAAGCTGTTCAAAAAGCCCATTACCAAGGTCAAAGTGTGTAATCTAACGATATTTACATGAGAATTTTCTTACATATAGTAATTGCGGTTTTGCCAGGTTAATGTTGAATTGATGAAGCGATACAGCGGCTACAAACCCTTTCTCTACAATGTCACTGTGGATGCCTGCCGATTTCTAAAGAACCCAGGATCAAACCCCATCGCAGGCTACTTGTATGGATTCTTCAGGGATCACTCGAATATGAATCACACCTGCCCTTTCGATGTATGTTCAATATAAGGAAACGGGTATATTAAGTAATATATCTTATCATTTTCAGCACGATCTGATACTTGAGAAACTCACCATCAACTTTGTCAATCAGCATGTTACAAATGTCTTGCCCTTCCCCACCGGCGATTACCTCTTTCAATCCAACTGGTTGGCCTATGATATTAACCGGGCCAAGTTCAGCGTATATTGGACCATTTCTTAATCGCAATTTATATTTATTTATTTAGTAGTAATAATTTCTAGTAACAATTTTCATAATGAGCCGCCCCAAAGGTATCTAAACTATGCCTAATGAGCAGTAAACTTACCGCTTAATCGATTTAAATTTGGAATATTTAATAATATTATATATAAATACCTCTGTTTTGGACAAACAAAGTTATAAAGGTTTCGGTCTGCCACCAAATTGTTTTTGAATATTTCTGCTTAGTATGTGGTCGCGAGGTTTTCGTCTCTTTGAACTTATTGTTCTTTTATATTCAATAAAACAAGTAAATCCTTATCCCATAAATATAAATTACATAAACATTTATTGCATTAAAATTCAAATTTCAGATAACTTCTTCCGTGGAGTTCACCAATGTGAAATGCAAGTCCTTGGACCCAGATTTCGACGCCTTTGAATATTGCTTCTTGAAGTCCGTGAATCGTACCTATAAATACCTTTCCTTAAAAGTGAAACTATTTCAGACGCCCGTTACGAAAGGTAAAGTAAGTAATCAATCCATACAAAAATGTATTAGTATTTCTGTTTAAGAAACCACTAAAATTATAGGTCAATGTTGAATTAATGAAGCGATTCAGCGGATATAAGCCCTTTCTCTACAACGTCACTGTGGACGGCTGTCGCTTTTTGAAAAACTCAACCTCAAATCCAATTGCAGTGTACCTGCATGGTTTTTTTAAGGATTACTCCAACCTGAATCATACTTGTCCTTATGCTGTGAGTAAAGGTTGCAGAGGTCATAACTTTTAAATATGTTACCACATCCTGTAATTTGCAGAATGATATAATAATTGACAAGCTGCCCATTAGCTTTGTATTTTAGCTTGTATTGCCCTTCCCCCCCGGCGATTACCTATTCCAAAGCAATTGGATTGCCTATGATATTAATCGGGCTAATGTAAAAGTATACTTCACACTTTCGTGAGTATATTACTCATTTGGGCCGAAATATCTAATTTATATTTAATGAATACAGAGATTTGTGCTGAGTTTGAATGAAAATATATAAAAAAATATGCCCTGGCTTCAATTTCATTTCCCATCAGCATGTCATTCAGGTGTTTTCGTTTAGTTGAACTTGCCGTTCTCCTATATTCAATAAAACAAGAATAAATAATTATTATAAATTGTAAAAAAATGGAAAAAAATCTGAAGAATTTAAACTTATATTTAGATAGCATCTACAGTGGAGTTTACCAATGTCAAGTGCACTTCTCTGGACCCTAAATTCGTGGAGTTTGAATATTGCTATCTGAAATCAGTTAATCGAAGCTACAAGTATCTTTCCCTGAAGACAAAGATGTTTTTATTACCCATTCCCAAGCCGAATGTTAGTGTGTAAGTTCATGCAGTAAATTATCTCAGAACTCATTCATTGTCTTTCCAGGTTAATATTGAATTTCTAAAGCGATTCAGTGGCTACAAACCCTTTCTCTACAACATTACCGTGGACGTCTGTCGATTCATGAAGAATCCCAAATCAAATCCAATTGCAGCTTATTTTCATGGTTTTTTTAAGAATCACTCGAACATGAATCACACCTGTCCCTATAATGTGAGCATTAAGTAATCTTAGTTTTCAAAATTTACTTAATTTATTTGCAGCACGATATTATCATTGACCGACTATCTATCAGCTTTATGAATCAGCATCTAACAGAAGTTTTGCCCTTTCCCATCGGAGATTACCTCTTTCAATCTAACTGGATAGCCGATGGGATTAATCGCGCGAATGTAAATGTATATTTTACACTTTCTTAAAAGTTTCAACTGAAAATGAAGATACTTTCAGCTTAACGAATACATTTTTGTACTTGATTAAAGCCTAGGGTTATAAAAATCACAAATGTTTTTAACAATTTATCAATATATTGAGGTTTATGCTTAGCCTATCAAGTATTGCATCGGTTACAAAGTTTAACATAAACTAATCTCTACTTTATTCCTATTTATTTACACTGCTTTTACACTTTGGATGGGATCGAATGGGAGAGTCCCGTTCTCTGGAGGCTCAGCCTCAATCACGGGGCGTGATCTTCACCCGCAGACCGTCCTTGGGCCGCAGGATGAGCTCGCCAAGCAGAGTAAGATCCTCTCTCCTGTCCACCGCCTCAATTTTGTATTTACGCAGCACCGTCGAAATCACGGCCTTCTCCTCCAGAATGGCAAACTTCTGGCCAATGCAGTTACGAGGTCCGGCACTGAAGGGGATGTAGGCGAAGGGATGGCGTCCGGCACAGTTTTCGGGCAGGAAGTTGTCGGGATTGAACTGCTCCGGCTTGGGGAAGACACGCGGGTTGCGATGCAGGGCGTAGGTCATGATGATTGCCTGCGTGCCGGCGGGCACCACTTTTCCACCTGGATAACAAATCATAATGTTATTTATGTTTCTAATGTGTTTTTAACTCTCAAACTCACCGATATTCACATCCTCGCCCACCATTCTGGCCATCATGGGTACACTGGGGAAGAGGCGCAGCGAATCCTTGATGCAGCATTCCAGGTAACGCATATCCAACAGGTTCTTCATCGTGGCAGGAGTCTCCTTATCGTCGCCAAAGATGGAGTCCAACTCCTCCACTACTCGCTCCTGATACTCGGGATGGCATCCCAGCAGGAAAAGGGTCCAGGAGATGGCTGCCGAGGTAGTGTCATGGCCCTCGAACATGAATGTGTCCACTTCTTCGCGGATATCCTCCTGTAAATTAAGAACATTTTTATGAAATTTACAAATATTATAATTGATCAAAAATCTTACGTTGGACAGCACTGTTCCTTCTTTGGAGGCATCGATCAGGAGATCAAGGAAAGCCAGACGCTTCTTCTTTCCCACATCATCATAGGCATCGGCAGACTGATTATTATTGTTGTTATTATTGTTCTCCTGGAGAATGGCCAACTCGGCCTTACGTTCCCGGATCACCATGTTGGAGAATCCATGCAGAGTGTTAATGAAGCTCTGGTGCAGCTTGTAGTCCGCGGTCATACGGAAGATGAGGTCGCTCTGGAGCCAGATCTTGGACTGGCGGCTCTGAACAATGGAGCCAATGCTACAAAGGGAGGGAAGATGTTATTAAGTATAGATAAATATATGAAATTCTTAGCTTAAGAAACATATAAATTCCGTATCTCTTCCCAAAGATATTATTTGTATTTCCCCAACCTATTTGCTGCCTCTTCAAAGTTATTAACAAGAAAGAGGAGGGGGAAATAGGAAAGTGTTGCGTTAAATTGAAAGTTAGTCAAGTGTTCAATGGGTGAATTCCATGAGGCGTGGCTGTGGAGTAGAAGTGGAAATGTAAGTGGAAATGGGTGTGGAAGTGGGAGGCTGTCTGTTATCAGCTTCGGAGCACTTCAAGCATCCCATTGACATCTTAATCTCGCATATTTTGCGCTCGGTTGCATTCTACATCCGCCACCTCCAATGGGGTTGGGTGGATGGAATTCAGTATTCCGGGAGGTGGAAGGACATGTGTAGCTGTATCTAAAGGGTGTCTCATTCCCTGACAGCTGTCCTGACAGCTCTCACGATATTAAACTGCTGCCACAGTGCTGATAACTCTTCCGAGCCATTGATGTTATTATTCCCAGCGGTAGTCGGGCTTAGTGATATAATTTATTAATGCAGACAGATAGAGAATGATATTTGTTATTGATTAAAATATTAAGGAACATGTAACAATATACGAAATGTTGGAATTATTATTATTAAATCTTAGATTTTAATCTTTTAGGTAACTTTATTTTTATCTATTAGTAAAGTTACGCCTTTTAGCTAGGCTATGGAAAATAGTTTATAGCATTGCATTTGTTTATAATAATTAATTGCATACTTTACAGCTTACCTAAAATAAGGTGCTATAAATTGTTGATATATACAACTTTAGGATTGATACAAATTAACATTTTTTAAGTTTTTTTTTAAAGTTAATAGTGAATGAAGATAAGAACTTCGAGCGTGTTAAAAAATCCCTTAACATAACTAATTCTTATATTTCTTTGGATTTATTTTAATAGAAAATTAATTAAATGTAAGTCCTAATTCTTGAATTCCAAATTAAACAATTTAATACAAAATGTATTTATAGTTTAGTTTTACAAGTTTTCATTTAACTAACAATTTTGCCTCATTTCATTCAATAGCATTATTAAAACGAATTAATCCATTTGTCTGTCACGAAATCTATTACGACTGGGTAACCAGTATTCCAACGCTGGCCTTTGACTATAATTGAAACTATAATCGAACAAATCGAACGCACATATCAATAGTCTATATAAGATACAAAGGAAATGACTTCAAATGGCTCATAACAATTTTCGGCAATTTCAATCACAAAACAATATTTCTTCAAGTCTTTCTTTGGCTCATTTTATGACTATAATTTAAGTTATTTTATCCGCAAATTGTTTATACTTTGCGGCACTCTACAAAAGATGTTAAAACCCACTGCTCCAAATAATTATAAGCTATTTTTGAATAATATTTTTTGAGAAAAACAACACAATCAGAGTGAAATTTGCTAGTATGAGAGAAAGTACATTTCTTTTCGATTTCTTAAGAAAATAATTTGTTTAAAACAAGCAAAATGATATCTAGTTATTGTTAAAATCTTACCCATAGACCGCCTTCACATACTCCGATTCGCTGTTGCTCTGGGCATAAATTCTACGACCCATGGCGGTTTCTAAGCAAATAAATGACATAGACAATTAGTACAAAAAATATTGTGACGACGGAGCTGGAGATGGAAATGCATCCGCGACATTGACACTCACCACAGACAATGTCCAGGGTGCAGAGCGTGACGTAGGGGAACAGGTTGAACGCCTCGCTGCCCACCTCGACGGCCAGTTTTCTGGCCAAGACGGCGCTCTGCTCGTTGAACACATCAATAAAGTCGTCCAAGATTTTGAAGTGGAAGGCGGGCGTGAGGATCTGTCAATGGAATAATGGAAATAAATAAATATGGGGATATTATAGTTGAGACTCCTTAACTAATTGGTTTAATTTTTGTTAAATATTATAACATATTCATGGGAAACCCCTATCTCTCATCATTGATTTATACTATAGCCATATAATATTTTGAAATAAAAAAACCCCTAACATTTTAATTAACTACTTTTTATGGTTTATTTGTTGGTAAATCCTACCTTTCTGCGGGAGTGCCACTTGCGATCGGTGCTGGTCAGGAGTCCTTCGCCCAGCCAGGGATGCAGATAGTCGTAGTCGTGACTCTTGTTCACAAACTTCTGGCTGTTCAGTATAGGCTGAAAAATATTTACAAATTATTATTCATTTATTTAGAATATTTTTTAGTTTAAGTAAACTTACCTCCACCGTCTCGGGCTCGAAGAGGAGTACCCGCGGTGCAGTTCCTTGCCAAACACGATTGATTCCAATTCGCGTGCCCCACAATTTCTGCATGCCGATGACGCGATTGAAGAGCTCTGCAAAAATAATAGGAGTTTGGTCAAAAAACCAGTTTGATTCGTTAACTTGAACTCTTTTGGGTGGGAGAATGATTTACGTCATCAATTATCTAGTGGATTTTGTTGTATTTAATATTAAAATTAAATACGTTTATAGATATTAAAAACAATTAATTAATCTTAATGGTATTTTATTTATTGTAATATAGATTCAATTGTAAAATGTAAATATTACGTCAAATAATTAAAAATATTGATTAATAATATTAAAGATTTTAATAGAGTGTAGTAACCTTTAGAAAATAATTCCAAATTTAAATTTAATATTACTTTTTTCAAATTACAAAACAATTTCACTTTCTCTGTGACGACTTTTAACGTAATTAAGTAATTTGTAAGCACCCCTCCCCCTTGTTGCCGCCCGATCAAGGTCGCTTCAATTACTTTCTTTATGACCCAGTTAACAAGCCGGGGCTTTTCTCACCTCGAAAAGCCCAACCAAAAGGCAACATGACTGGAGGCACGTTACTCATGGCTACAACCAGGTAAACATCTCACGGGTGTCCAAGTTTATGTGTCGCAGCCCATATGTGTTGCATTAATTAAAAAAAAAAAGATGAAACACAACCATGCGTGGCCATTCAGCGATCTCTAATAATGATTTTATGTAACCCCGCCGCCCGAAAACCAAACTGGCTGCTGATGACGCCGCCTCAAATTTCGCGACCATTTCTCAGCTGCTCAGACGCTCAGGTGGGGCAGGTGAGTGGGGCTCTTGGCTGGGACTCGGACTTGGACTCGGACTCAGTCTTGGACCGCTCTTCGTCGGAAGTTTGCCAAAACAAAGCACTTTTCATGCAATCTCTTTGCCGGTCCACGGCTCCCTTCATTATCATTTTGATTTTGATTTTGCTGCCGTGTTTTTGGAGGTTGTATGCCTGTAGTTACCTGTCACCGGTGATGAAAATTATCCAAATAGTTGTGCGTATGTTGGGTACAAGACCCATGTAATTGTCTTTATAATTTATGGTTTCCCTAGGTTTCAGACCTCTAAGCAAGGTAAATACATCAAAAAAACACTTCAAGTACTACCTAACCCTTTTTGGTAACAATGTTTATTATTTCTAATACAGTAAAAATAAGATAAATTTGTTTTTTAAATTGTAATCCATTTTATTCCAAAAATAGATTGGAAGACTACTTTTTTATTAAACTACTGAACCCTTAGCTGAACATTTTCCATACAAAAACTGTGCCTGTATTTTGTCTGTAAAATTGCTTTGACAATTTGAAATAATTTGCTTGTGACACAATTTTCTGGCTGACATTGGCTGAGCATATTGAGAGACATTTTCGCTGTGATCGTTATACATCTTAGACAACCAAATCTAGTAGCTAACACCCACAGCTTAAACCCTCTATACGAACCCCAAAGCACTGGAAGCCCTGACCCCAGTTTTCCGAGCTCTAGAACTCCGAATCGGAAACCCGTTTGAGCCTTGGCCGCACTCTGCGCCATTCCACAGACCAAATGTTGCCAAGTTGCCTCTTCAGCAGCATGAATTACTCGAACTCGGGTCTTGGAAAAACATAATCAAGAACCGCTTGACCTTCAGCCGTTTACTGCAACATCATATTTCATTTTCATTTCCAACAAACGCCTCGTAATTGCGCAGACAGACAACAGCTTCGAGATTCGTTCTTAAATTAAATTATGAAAAAAACTAAAATAAAAAAAATATTAATAAAACCCCAGTGCCTTGCTAATCGGTCCATAAATTATATGCAAGCTGCTCGATTGCCTTGGCAGAAATATTCTTTTATTTAGCGAGCACTTGAGCCGGTCTTTTGATTATAGTGGCCTTCAAATGCTGCGGTAATTTCGGGTGGAGATGCCGCGAATTAGTATAACATTTCACTGCCCAATAAAACTGGTTTCCAAAGTTCTAGCCGAGTTACGAGTGTCATAAGAAGATTGTAAATCTTTTGAATAACAAACAAACGAAACCCCAACAAAAACCCCTATGTCCCATGTAAATGCTAATTGAGTGGAGATTTTTAATCGCCAAATACAGCGGTCTCTGCAGAGAACCCTCGAGATAAAGAGCTGCCAAAAACTTGATTTCGGCCCAACGATCTTTATGATCTAACGATCACGAAAAGGCAGACAAAGAACCGAGGAAAACGGAAACGAATCGAATCCAGTTGGGGTTTAGCACCACCTATCGAATGAGTAGCAATATTTCATACGTTTTATCAAATTAAAACCATTTCCTATACGCACGAACACACGACTTTGTGTCCGCTGCAGTGGCCGAGCTCTTGGCACCGAATTTGTATCTTGGAGATTGCGCTTCCGCATTTAAATTTATGTTAATTTGCTTTTGTCTCCGAACCTCGTTGGCTATCTATCGGAGATCGGTGGCTAACGGCCATCCGAGGGAGTTGCAAAACGCCGGACTCGAGGTATGCGAATTAATCAATCGATCGATTGGGGCTGAGAATCGCAAAGCCGGGACCAATTATGATGGATATTCTTCTCGCTCAGTGTCAAGATCAAGTCCGCTTTTATTGTTCGCTTTTGGACCTTTTTTCGGTGCCGCAGTCTGAGCCGCAGTCTGGGCCAAGTCTGTTCACTGTTTATGGCTATTTTTATCACTCTTCGAGTGCTTGTCGAGTGATTTATGAGCGGCTTCTGGCCGCCGCCGTTTCTCTACGGATCCTCATATTTGGTAATTGTTTCGAGATCGGCAAACAAATTCGTATAAATTGCGTGTGAAATGTGGTGTTTAAATGGTTTTTATTAGGTGAAAGTCCAAGAGGTCGAGCTTGTTTCGAGATCAAAGCGGTATAATGGGTGTTTTAAGGTTTATTTTACATTTACTTTTCTTAATTACCGCAGACAGCTTTTATTATGATACTATCTTAATAACTTCATCTTTGACTGGGGCAAGGGTTAATGTCTTTTTATGGAGTCTCAGTTCTTGAAATTTTCTCTAATTTTAAATTCATAAATTCATTAGAATCCATGCTCAATTGCCCGCCAACTTGTTCAGGTTTTGTTTGCCTCCGTTCGACGAGGTGGCTAGTCGCAAACAAATACGAAATTTGTTAATTAAATTATGTGTTTCACCGGAGCAGTAAACAAAAGGCAAAGGCAGTCAGCGAATGCATAAATCACCTGCTTATTGCAATCTCATTTCCAACTGGTTTTTGCATTTCAAAATGTTTTCCTAGGCGGTTCTATTAATCAATTAGCAGCTCACTTTTATGGGACCGCGAACTTGGCCACAAAAATATACCAATCTTCCGCAACGAAAGTGAAGTTTCCGAAAGTAAAGTTCATTAACACTGGGTAATCGGCTGGCTTTTCGATACCTCCGCTCATTACGAGCCCCGATCTCAGAAATTAGCACCTGCTCGACGACTGTTTGCCTTAGCAATCCGAGGTCCAGGGTCAATATCACTAACTGGAGCATCATCTCACACACTTTAGGCCAGAATTTGGGAGAACTGCGTCGCCACCGTGTTCTCAACTCACCGTCATGGTCCACATTCATCTCGATGGCATTGCCCAGGAAGGGCATGGCGGCCGGTCCAGGGATCTTTTCAATGTGCTTCACCAGACGGGCACGGCGCTTGTTGTAGACCACCAGGAATATCGCGATAGAGGCCACCAGGAACACCGTAATCGGGGAGTAACCCGAGATCACTTGGGCCGTTTTCGAGAGCAGAAGGCTCTCGGCCATCAGCGAGGTAAACACTTTCGAGGACATCTTTACAGAGTCTCTGTCTGTCTAACAACAGTTCACTTTCGATATAATATATAATTCGTATATCCTGATCGCACGGAGATCGAAACCGGACCCGGCAAACCCAAAACGATTCAAGCGCTGCGAACTCCAATAGACAACTAACCGAAAGCCCGAGATTGCACAAAAATTTAAAAAGAAGTGCTAAAAATTTCGGGCCAAGCGTTTCGGGTTTCGAGCTCTCGTCGCGAGCTCAGCTTTGTATCTGTATCTGTATCTGAACTCGACGCCGAATCCGCTTGTATAGGTGAGTATCTCGATCTCTATGCCGGCTGAGGTTGTGTTGGTCAGAGCGCTAGACACACATACGTTTGTTCAGCCACAAAGACCGAGTGCTAAACAACTGCCTTGCATTCGCATTGTTGCCTAGATGACTGGGCTTTTCGGCTGTTTATGGGACCTACATAGAGTGCAATCGAGAGATATGATTTCATATGTGACGTCTGTGTACCTTTTACTCTATTAAAGGGCTTAAAAACAGCAGAAACTATATTTTTGCCATTGCAAACTTCAATGTTTTTATCTTATTTTCAACAGGTTTCAATCGAAACCTATTAAGATTGAACTTGAACCAATTCTGGTTTGCTAGAATAAAATTATAAAAATATTGCAGACTCCAAAATGAGTTTTGTCTCTAAGCCAAATTTATTTGGATGGAAAGAGGAACATCATGCAGTTATATAATTGAAATTCAAACAAATACTTAACCAAATTTCCGTAAGCAAATGCTCATTTTAATTTATAACCGGATTTCTCAGGCACATGCAAAAGTATATTCAAAACATTTAAATCTTACACGTGCTTTAATATATATTATTTAATGATAAGAGCAATTGTTAAATATATTTTAAATATATTTAAAAAGGCCTGTAAATTAAAGGCGAAAGATGAGAGAAACAAATATATGTAATTATTTGTTTATTTCCTTCTATAAATTTAATTTTATGATTCATTTACTCAGTCAAATAAACCCTTAGATTTCTATTTGCAAGAGTAGTTAATCTTCGTCATGGTTGAATCCATTTTTGGCAGCTTTTCTCATTATTTTATTTTGGCTTTTTATTCATTGCCCTTGTGCCTGAATGGCAAACTTCAAATATCTCCATTGAGAGGAGTTAATTGAGATGGGCGTCGACATGTCAACCCTTTTTAATCCACAGAAGCAGATCGGTTATATGGTTAGATAGCCTTGACTAGAGATTGGAATTGGGATGAAGCCTCTCTATTCTACAATCGCCCATTAACTGCAAGTTCGGATTTCATTATGCGAATGCAATTAAAACGGGCTTAAGCGCACTGTCACGTCCGCAAGTAGACACTTCACAATGGGAGCGTTTGATTCGAGGGAGCGTTTAGTTTAGAAACCGAATAGAAGTTGGATTGCAACCTTCGCGAGGTGACGCCGCAGAAGATTCTTGGACAATTAGCGATCGCTTGAGATTGAGATCGAGATTGACATCTAATATTTGATTGTCTGTCGCATGTTAAATGTAACCCAAGGTTAGGAGGAAGTTTTCGAAAACTCGTGCCCGTTCTTATTGATGATGGTGGAACCAGCGCAACCCGTTTTGAGGTTCTTAGTTAACCAAATTAATTTGCGTTTTGGGTTTCGTTTTTTTTTTTTTTGTAAAAGGCCCGAAGAACCTGTTCCAATAGAACGTACCTAACCCCTGGTATAACTGATGCTAAACTAGAGACAGATTTTAATCGGAGCTTCCAGCCACTCCAGAGTTTTGTGACATAATCCCGGTGAAAGAATGGGTTTTATGTCAGCACATGAAATAAATTATAAAACCGGACTCCAGACTCCATCTTGAAATATCAAAATAACAAGCCAGTGAAGAAGAGTTCGGTTGAAAGGTCAGTCACCACATAAACAGTAGCCTATTTGTAAAAATATTCCATACTCAATAGCTCATTACAGGCTCTTATTTCTGGTTAGGGTAACGAGCGATTACGACACCCAAAAGTCTGAAAATAAAGTCTAGGAAGTGGAAGAAACCGTCGCCAGCGACTCGTTCTTTAATTAAAGAAGAATTAACAGCTTCGCGGGGGAAAAAGCGGATTGCCAAAATGCCGAGTCACCGCTCGCAACCACTTGTGTTTTCATTTAACCATTTTATCATCCAATTCTGCGTATTTCTGTCTGCCTGCAATTCCACAACAGATTAGAGCAGAACTCGGAGAACATCGTAGTACTTCAAAACTGTAGAAGTAGTCGGTCAGGGGCTTCCCCCTTGGCCAGTTATTATGTGTGGGGCTTCTTTGTTTTGTTTTGGTTTTCCGTTTGGCATTTTATTGGATTATTTTTTTGTTTCTTTTTGTATTTTGTATGTTAATGTGCCTACGTGCAGCTGATCAATGACTGATTTGCAGCAGATCCGAGTCAAAATCCGATCGGTGAGCATCTCGCATGTCGGTGCTAATAAGCGGTGAGTTTCTTGAATGACTTTATGTGGAGGGCCGTCTTCTATCTCGAGAGTTTTCAAGATCAAGGGCATGGATGAGGCCGGTCTTCATTCATCTTCCTGCTCAGGCAAGTTTTAAACAGAGCGAATGGAGGTCTTGACTTAACGAGGGGTAATATTACCCTGGTAAAACTTTAGAAAATAAGATAAGTTAGGAAAATATCCCAAAGGGCATAATAAATATTGCTAATAAAATTATTAATATACCTTTTTCGTACTCATTAAATCATAAATGCATAGAAAATTAAACGTTAAATAATAAATAAATAAACATGTATATAATAATAATTACAAAGCACTTTATATAATCAGGAAAAAATTTATTATAATATTTTATACAATACATTGTGTTCACATATTATCCATAAATATACCCATTATAAATAATATTTAAATTAAAAAAAAAAAAAGCATAAGTATAATTATTAAAAATTTATTAAATTAAATACACAAAAACTAGCTTTAAAATATATTCAGTCACTTTCTTCCTGTCTCAAGGCAATTCCATAAGGGAAAGAAAACGTCATCCCTAAACTACACGCACACACTCATATCACAGTCAGGGGTGTTTTGTAGTTTGTGTGTGAATAAGAGAAATTTTCCTACCTTCGCTGCCTATAATTCCCAACCAGTTATGACGTTGGCCTCATCGAGACCCTCGGCCCGAGCGGAGAAAAGCATACTTACCTGGCGTAGAGGTTAACCGTGATCACGAAGGCGGTTCCTCCGGAGTGAGGCTTGGCCATTGCACCTCGGCTGAGTTGACCTCTGCGATTATTCCTAATGTGAATAACTCGTGCGTGTAATTTTTGGTAGCCGGGAATGGCGTTCGCGCCGTCCCGACATTTATAATAAATTTGATAAAGTTATAATAAAAACTTATGTAGTCTATAACTAGTAGTTAAATTATGGGAAATATTATGAAGAAAAACAGTATAAATTTCTGAGATTTGGGATTATCAAAAAATTGTATATAAAATAATTTAAAGAAACTATGTCGTATATTATTTCATAATTACAGGATTAACATCATAAGGCACTTGGTTAGGTTCATTATAATAAGAGAATTTTAAATAATTCTCTTTTTGTTAATGGGGGTTTATTATTGAGCTTTTAGTTAAATTACAAAATAAATGCAATTAAAGTAATGACTAAATCAAACCAATTAAAAACGGCTTAATGTCAACATTAAAAGCATTATTTATATATATACCAATTGTACTAATGTAATTTTTATTATTATATGAAATACACCTTTCCCCAATTAACTCATAGATGGTCAATTAAAAAAGTACTTGCTTTTGGTATTTTATTTTTTAGCTAAATATTTGGATGTTAATACAATATTGTATATTTTCTTTAACTTCTGTAGAGATACATAAAAAGAACAACATCAAGAAAGTGTAAAATATACATCGACTTTAGCTCTATTAATATCATAAGCTATCCAGTTTGAGCGAAAAAGGTAATCGCCAGTGGGAAAGGGCAAAACTTCTGTTACATGTCGGTTAATACGATCAACGGACAGTTTTTCAACTATAAGATCGTGCTAGATAAATGTATATGGATGATTACAAATAACTCCAACAGATCGAATAATATATACTAACGTCAAAGGGGCAGGTGTGGTTCATGTTGGAAAATTCCCTGAAGAATCCATGCAAGTAGAATGCGATTGGGTTCGATTTTGTATTCTTCAGAAACTGGCATGCGTCCACAGTAACGTTGTACAGAAAGGGCTTATAGCCACTGTATCGCTTCATCAACTCAACATTAACCTGGAAAAATGATTTCCTTGAGCAAGAATATAAATTTCGGTAAATAGACACACTTTAACTTTGGTAATGGGCGTCTTGAAAAGCTTAATCTTTAGAGAAAGGTATTTGTAGCTACGATTCACAGATTTTAAAAAACAATAGTCAATGTCGGTGAAGTCCGTGTCCAGCGAAGTGCATTTTATGTTGGTAAACTCCACCTTAGATACAATCTGCAAAATTTTTAAATAAGCTTGATGCACGGATAATGCAAAGTACAATACTTCTACTTGGTTTATTAAGTACAGAAAAACAATGAGCTCAACTAAACGACTGCTTTGGGTAAACATTTTCAACAGACTCAAAACTTTTGATGTCAATTTCATTTTATATTCCATATTTAGTGGATTAATTCATCTAATTATTATTTTTATGTCTAAATATATGACTTAATTAGACTTAATATAGATTTTAGAACAAAAAATAATTGCTGTAATTTATTGATTTTAGATAGCAGTGCTTAAAGTCATTAAACTTTTGGGGTCTAGGAGGGTTATTTCAAAATTAAATTGATCTAGCTAAAAATTCTTTGCATTTACTATTTTATATTTAATTATACTTCCCAAATAAATAAAAAAAATAAATAAAATAAAATTTCATACCAAGGCACAACTTTTTTATTTCAACTCCAAAACCTTTTTTTTAACAATGAAAATACTATTATTTAAATAAATAAGGCAATTAGATAAGCCACATTTTTAAGAAAGTGTTAAATATAAATTGACTTTTGCCCGATTAATATCATAAGCCAGCCAGTTTGATTGGAAAAGGTAATCGCCGGTGGGGATTGGCAGCACTTGTGTTAAACGTTCATTCATAAAACTAATAGGGACTTTCTCGACTATTATATCGTGCTGCAAAAAACGATACAAAATAATATTTTCAAAATTTGATTTTAGTTTTTAAATATCCATTTACTTACATCAAAAGGGCAGGTGTGATTCATATTGGAATAATTTTTGAAGAATCCATGTATGTATTCAATGAAGAGGTTCGATTTAGGATTCCTCAGAAATCGGCAGGCATCCACAGTAACGTTGTAAAGCCAGGGCCTATAGCCGTTGTATCGCTTTAATATCTCAAAATTAATCTGAAAGCACAAGTTCCTTTAAAAAAAAAAATATTTCTCTAAGGCCAGATTGCATACTTTAACTTTGGTAATAGGGGTCTTGAAGAGCTTCACCTTTAGCGAAAGGTATTTGTAGCTACGGTTTACAGATTTTAGGAAACAATAGTCAATGTCGGTGAAGTCCGTGTCCAGCGAAGTGCATTTTATGTTGGTTAACTCCACTTTGGAAACAATCTGGTAGAAGAATATTATTTAAATTGTATTAAACTATATAAATAAAGTAAAATCAATAAATATATTTCCGTACCACGTTGAATAAATACATAAAAATTAGGAGTTCAAAAACGCGAGCTCTTTTTGACAACATTTTGAGCAGAAATATTGAAGCGCACGCTTGATACTAAAATACAATTTGCAGGCACAGACGAAGTCACTTATATAAAGGTTTATATTTCGGAAATAATAGTTTTAGGTTTAATGATCCATTTATAATATATGTGGAAATAATTGCGTATTGTTAAACATTTTGTGTAATTAGACTTTTGAACAATCGATGTTTAATGAGATTATTGCTATATTAAATAGCCAATTGTGTTTTTCTTAAGTAATACATGATTCGGTATTAATCGCTTGCCTGTATTTATCTTTATTCCCCTGACAAAGGATTTTTATAGCTTTTTCCCATATTTTAACACGCTTTTAGTTTTCAGCTTTCCGAGTTCTTGACTCCATTGGATGTCGCACAGATATAATAAGCGTGCCAAACTTGTTTGGTCTTCGGTGAGCTGCTGTTCGGTGGTCAATGGGTCAAAGCTAGCATCTTCGATGACTCTGGGTTTGAGATCAGTGCTTCTAGTTGAGTTACTTCTATGCACACTTGAACTTGATCTGGATGCTGGGGATAATTAAATACGCGGACTACGTGCTAAAGAAGAAATCGAGAAGCCGAAACCGAAGCCAAAGCCTTCGGCAAAAGTCCGCAATAAAAGAGTTGTAGATTTTAACTAAAGCTTCAACTGTTTGGCTTTTGTTATTGTTGCTAGTGGCTGGCGGTGTTCCGTTCGTTTATTGCCATTAGCCAGCAGTCAGCATTTGACTCACAAATTATGGCCAGCAGCTTGTATTTTCCACGGCGATCGTTGTTGCCGCCGAATTGATTAGCTCGCATTTGGCTTTGGCTTTAAGCTTGGCTTTGAGCTTGGGCTTGGGCCTAAGAGCTAGCGGTCTCTGGGTCCCTCGATAAGGTCAAGTTCATTTCCGCATAGCGGTCTACGATGTTTCTACTTCAGATTTGTCTATACTGGCCAGGTGAGTAAATGGAATTGCAGTCGATTTCATGGGAAGGGAAATTGCACAAGAGGTCAGTCGGCCAACTGGAGTGGCCGTAAAACAATTAGCCATTAGACGCGGCCCAATGTGACGCACCTGTCGCCGCAATAGCGGCAATTACTCGTCGAGTTTGCTAACTCTCATTACAATCTCTCCGCGGGTCACGCAACAGTCTCTGCCTCGATCTCACCTGTGACCGTGTGAACTACTGAACCACTAAAAAGTTTCCCTTTCACAATCGGACTTGAAGGTTCTTGAGTTTGAAATTGAACAAAAATGGTAAACTTTTAAACAAGAGAAAGACACTACAATTTAGTTCCATTAAGAAATTACCATATGTTGGGGAGTTAAATATATATTAAGGCTAATGTTTCTTGTACATTAACTTTAAGCGAGTTGGCTTTAAACTTACCCTTCACAGTTGAACTTGATTGTTCTTGGGGGTCCACATAATTGGCTAAATATCTGTCTCGCTGCCAGACTTCACTGCCAATGGTCAAGTGCAGCGTCTAGCTGCAATTAACCCACTAAGTGTCAGTGTACTCAAAATTTTAAGACAAGAAATAAACAAGAAACAGACATCTATAAAAGAGGTATGGCAATAGTGAATTTTAAATATTTAATTGGTAGATTTATGTTCAAATTTAAAATATTAAAAAATTAATTTATATAATTTTGGAATGCATATTTTATAGAATAAACAAATATGTACATTTTAGAGACAGTTATTGTTCCATGAAGATAATTAAGTTAAATAAAAATCTAATCAAATCGGTTTACTTCACTTTTATATTTATTAATTTTCCACTTTTTTGTTATTTAATCTTTAGCTATTAGAATATATTCTTCATCAACCTGCAAGGGGTTAATTTCTGTCAAAGAACCAAAATGCAGGCCAGGCACTTAACTGAATCCCAGGGTCAACGCGACCAGTTTCAGGTTTCCTTCTAAGCTCAGCAGCCCCTGGCCAGCCGAATCGTTGGTTTTGACACAGATATATCCATAGCCATATTGGACGGATCGGTGCTTGCATTTGGCATTTCGTTTGGCAAACATCAGACTATCAGCCACCGAGTTGCGGCCACCAGATGGCCTCGACTTTCAATCGCAGCCACGTCCACTGGCTCATTGTCAGCCCCCGAGAATGTATCTGACACTATGGCATTCTTTTCAAATGTATCTTCAAGATGTTTCTCACACTGCGTCTGATACGCACTCGAATTACACCGAGTATTACACGGCGATAGGCATCGCCTCGCCTGAGAAATATGTTTGCCGACAATTACTGCGAGGGATGATGCATTTCCCAAACATTACGAGCTTTACATCTGGGCAGGCTCACATCAATTAATCCGCAATTACAATAGAATTTTGTTTGGCTTCTAGGCGACTCAATCAGAGGTGCCCCACCAGTTGGCCGGGCAAAGGGGGTTAAGCGATGGGGCCGCCGCGCTCTTAGGGGCGTTTTAATAACCGCGCTAAAGTTCAAGAACATCGCTGATGGTTATTGTCATAGTTTTGCCACAGCAAATGTGTAATTAAATCTGCGGATTGCAATCGATTATAAATACGTTTTGAGGCATTTGCGGAGGCATTTCATGAAGGTTTCGTTTGGCGGGTGATTGAGTGATTTGTTGAATAGTTATGGGTGTGTGAGCTCTACTTTGTTTTTATTACATTGTGATAATTTAGAATTTTAGATATATTTATTTAAGTTAAAGCTAAATATAAATGGTGTTTAATACTTTAAAATCGCTCAAAATCTATCAAATAAATTGTAAAAATGTTACAGTTGTAAAAAATGATATAAATTAAATATCCAGAGGGCTATTGAAACCACAAAAAGTCTTTATATTATTAAAAAAAAAAAAAAAAAAGAATTAAATCTTTAAATAATACTAATATATAATTAAATTAAAACAAACTACTTTTTAATTTATATGTTTTTATTTTTTATTATTAACAACAAACAAAAATATTTAAAATTTAGAATAAAATCATAAAAAGGTTCTTATTTAAAAATAACGAATTTTTCACAATGTTTCAGCAGTGTGGCAACTCTTTCGTGAGCAACCTGCCTTGCCAGAGTGTGCTGTCTCGAGCGTGGCCAGATGCCGCGGAAGCGGAAATACCTACGTCACTTCCGGGGCTTTCAACAAACGGACCGAAAACAAAAACAGTCACACTGCTATAAAATTTTAGTAACAACTCAGCTTGTTCGTTACATTATTTAATATTTGCACTTGCATTCGTCGCCTCGTCCAGATATAAACCCGTGCTTAACTCCGCCGACTTTCCGCCCCGATAAAAGTTAAAACCGAGAAGATGCAGCGCGCTGGCCTCCTGGCCATTTTGGCACTCTTCTGTGCCTTCGGTAAGCGCCGAAAGGGAATGGGAAACTACATATTTAGTCACAGCTTATTGCGTATTTGCACTGTGCACCCCCCATTCGTCACTCTGCATTCGTCATTCCTCGCTATTCATCTCTGCGCTTTGTTTTTTCCCTTCTCCGCAGGCTGCTTTGCCGCTGCCACGCCCCTTGTGGGATCCAGCAAATGCACCTGGGGGCCCTCGTATTGGTGCGACAGTCTCAGGTGAGTCGGAAAAACGCTTGGTCATCGGACGTCCGAGGAAAAATTCTAGAAGATATAGACAGAGAGGAGATCGCAAAACAATAACGGTTAACCCCTTTAACCCCACATTGCGTTTTGTCTCTTGTTTCCATCTCTTGTTCGCTGTTTTGCGGCTTTATTGTTGTTTTTTCACCGTCGATAAGACTATCTTTCAACTCGAATCGGGCTATCAAGCGATAACCCCTGTTATATTGCAAACTTAGGACTAGGCGACGCTCCAATTGCGCCCTCTTTTTGCAGCTACACAGGGCGAAACGATTGACTTTTGTTCCCATTTTTGGACTGATAACAAGCTTCATGTTTCAGAACGGTTGGGTTTTTTGTTTTCAAACTTGTCTTGTGACTACTGTAATTTTAATAATATTTGCAAACATAACACAGTCTATCAAATTTATAATTTAAGCCTCAGATGATTAGGCAGAATAGTTATCTGTACTAAATATTTGTCTTTTCACTTTATTTGCACAACTTTACTGTTTATTTACATTGCTTATAGAAATAGCATCCACAAATAAACAAATTTACATATATTTTCATTTGGAAATCCTATTTGAATTTAAATTAAACTTTTCTTGATTCTAATAATTAAAAAATTTCAAATCAAATTGATCGAATTACATCAATCACAAACCAAGATTTAAGTGTATAGCATTTTACAAATTCTGTTACACCAAACAAATAACAGTCCCTTTTTTCTTCCAGTGCATATTTTTGCATTCCCCTTTCTCTTGCCTCTTTCCCTATTCTGTGCCATCCCTTTTTTTTTTAGTTTCGGTTTAAATTAAATTATCAGAATGCCGGACCAAATGTGCCGACAGCTGACGAGCAAAGTTAATCACTTTTTAGGGGTAAGCTTAAACAGCATGAGTTTTATGCGATGAGTAATCCCAAAGTCCAGATCAGTTTACACTCGCTGTGATCCGAGGCCTCCCTTTCGCTTTTCTTCTCTCAACCGCAAATGACGCGCATAATCGAGGCATTTATCATCAGGAAAAGTTTCTTATCAACAACAGATTCTGACTAATCCCACATCGCACATAAAGGGGAACCACTCATACTTTACTTTTTATACACTTTCCAGGGTATTACTATATCAGTTAGAAACTAGTAAACGCAGTGAAGGAGTCATTTTCGATCCTATAAATCATATATATTGTTGATATCAGCATCAACAGGCGAGTCTTTTTTAACATCTTGAAGGGAAAAAATTGTATCATATTTTTTTTTTTCAAAATTTAATAAACAATAATAAACATTTACATCGTTAAAATTATCAGAAAATGACCAAAATGTTGATATTTTTAAAATTTTAAATTCAGTATGCCGATTTATTAGCCTATTAAAATCTAATACAGAAAACTTTTCCGAATTAAACTTGATGCTTTTTTTGCATATTTATGATATTTTAAATAATAAATAAGAATCAGTAAAAAGTGTTAATGATTATTTTAAATAATTCATAAGAATATGTTCCTTTGTAGAATTTTCCCACCCAGATTAACATCATCTTCAGTTTGATTACTTATTTGCAAAATAAAACCCATGGACAACTGAAAACTTTTGTTAAGCATGCACTCTGCTCTTATCGGTGGTAATAATTCCTTTGTTTATTGATTGATTTATTTTTAAACGCCAAAGGAAAATCCGCTTCGTACCCACTGCCTCTTAACTGTTTCTTTGTTTGTCAATTAAAGGCAAAAAAAAAAAAAATTGCAGAGCCTCAAAAATTTAAAACGTCGCCATTGCTGTGAAATTTTTAAAAACAATATCTGTGAGTGCGCAGACATCTGTATAATATATATATACATATTTATATGTGGATATGTCCAGATACATATTTGTGTGTGTTTATTTCCGTGCTTATCATTGCTGTTTTCTTTGCTTTCTAGACGCTTTTGTTTGATATTCCACTGAGTGCTCCCAACAGCCAACAGGCATTTGCTGATGTTTGTAAAAATTAGCACCTTTCAGGTAGAGGCAATAATATATAGGAATGATATAAATTGATTGAATATTGAATAAATAATAGAAATAAATATTAGGGGGGTTTGTAATGTGTATCCTCTCTATTGATTTACTTTAAAATAATTGTCATTTCCTCTACAAATTCCTGATTTGCCATAAAATCTTATACTCATTTATTGCTTTTGGATTATAAAGTATTTATCCAAAACGTCGCACCCTTATCCAGCATAATCATGTGAGCTGCGGGTGCATTCAACCGAAAGAGGAATATATATATATGGGTTCAGTTCAGCGGTTTCTCCGGCTTCTTAGTGGACTCTGATCTGTGCTGACTGTGTCGGTTCTGACTTGGTCAGTCGATTACGAATGCGGGTCATTTGATCCATAGTTTTGCGGTTTCTGCATCGTCAGCTTTCCTCCCAGCTCTGGCTTATCATACTCAACAAAAATTCCTTTCTGTTTTCTAGCAATTCCAAGGAATGCCGTGCCACCCGCCATTGTATTCAAACCGTGTGGGAGACCCGTGAGGTGCCCGTAGATACAGATTCGATCTGTCAGATATGCAAGCACATGGTCACGCAGGCACGCGACCAACTGAAGAGCAACGAGACCGAGGAGGAACTCAAAGAGGTCTTTGAGGGCTCCTGCAAGCTGCTGCCTGTTAAGGTTGTGCAAAAGGAGTGCATCAAGTTGGCCGATGATTTCCTGCCCGAGTTGGTTGAGGCCTTGGCTTCCCAAATGAACCCAGATGTGAGTAAACCGAGCAGAAGTTAGTCTCTTCTTGTATTTAAAACTCATTTTTTCCCACCTTTAGCAAGTTTGCTCTGTGGCCGGACTTTGCAACAGTGCCCGCATAGATGAGCTGATGAAGAAGGCCTATCAGGCGGTCCTCGACGGTACTTTCAAGGATGAGGACTTCGACGACAGCTCTAAGGAGACCGAGGTGTCCCTGAAGCCCAATCAACTGTCCTGCGGCAACTGCAACCTGCTCTCCCGCATGATGCAGTCGAAATTCGCTGCCTACAATCGCGATGACATGGTGGAGCAGTTCCTCCATGTGTGTGGTTCTCTCTCCAGCTTCTCGGATGCCTGTGCCAACATTGTGCTGACCTACTTCAACGATATTTACGATCATCTCAGCAAGCACTTGGACACCGATGCCGTCTGCCATGTGTCGGGAGTGTGCGCCTCCAAGTACCATCAGCATGAGGAGGATAAGCAGAAGCCCCAGGAGGCTTTGGTTGCTCTGGATGCCGGCGATGACATTCCCTGTGAGCTGTGCGAGCAGCTGGTGAAGCACCTGCGCGATGTTTTGGTGGCCAACACCACGGAGACGGAGTTTAAGCAGGTTCTGGAGGGATTCTGCAAGCAGTCGCGTGGATTTAAGGATGAGTGCATCAGCATTGTGGACCAGTATTACGATGTGATTTACCAGACGCTGACCAACAAGCTGGATGCCAATGGAGCCTGTTGCATGATTGGTATTTGCCAGAGGAACTCTGCGCAGAAGGATGCTCCTATTATGCCCCTGCTGCCTGCCATTGAGCCCGCCCAGGTAAAGATCACCATCGAGAAGCTGGAGAAGCACGAGCGCAAGCAGCTGGGTGCCAATGAGCCCAAGTTCACCCAGCAGCAGATCCAGGACATGCAGCTGCCCATCGATCACCTGATGGGTGCCCAGAACCCCGGCTCCCTAGTTAATGGTGGCGAGCTTTGCACCATTTGCGAGTACCTGCTGCACTTCATCCAGGAGACCTTGGCCACCCCGTCCACCGATGACGAGATCAAGCACACCGTGGAGAATATTTGCAGCAAACTGCCCCAGGGTGTGGCCGGTCAGTGCCGCAACTTTGTGGAGATGTACGGCGATGTGGTGATTGCCCTGCTCGTCCAGGGACTGAACCCGCGCAGCGTGTGCCCCATGATGCAGATGTGCCCGCATAATCTGCCCAAGAGCGAGGACGTGGAGGTGTTCCACCCAAAGCCCGTCAACGATGAGCAGGATGCGCCCACCTGCCCCTTGTGCCTCTTCGCCGTGGAGCAGGCCCAGGCCAAGATCCGTGACAACAAGTCCAAGGACAACATCAAGAAGGTTCTGGATGGCCTGTGCACTCACCTGCACAACAAGCTCAAGGGCGAGTGCGTGGACTTCGTGGAAACCTACTCCAACGAGCTGATCGACATGCTGATCACCGACTTCAAACCCCAGGAGATTTGCGTGCAGCTTAAGCTTTGCCCCAAGTCCAAGGACACGCTTGCCGACATGGGCATTAGTCTGGAGGATGAGATTGATGGCGAGGACACCTCCAGCAGCGAGGAGGAGGGCGACCATTTCAACGATATCGAAACTTTGGGTGAACTGCCGCCTCAGCTCGCCTTCGATGAAGGCTTGAAGGCCGCACCAAATTGCCTGATCTGTGAGGAGCTGGTGAAGACCGTCGAGAAGAAGATGGGCAAGCATCCCACGCGGGAGAGCATCAAGAAGATCCTGGACCAGGATTGCGACAAGTTGAGGAAGCCCGTGTCCGCCAAGTGCCACAAGATTGTTGAGAAATACGGCGACACCATTGCCGATCTGCTGCTCAAGGAGATGGACCCCAAGCTGATTTGCACCGAGCTGGGACTGTGCCTGATCGCCGACATGGATGACTGTAAGTAACTCTCAGTTTCCATTTGGAAATTATGTTGAAATGTTGAACTTTGACAGTGGAAATGGACGAGGCTTTGAAGTACGATGTGATTGCCCTGCCCCACAAGAACGAAGAGGTCAAGGAGCCGCCCACTTGCGTGCTGTGCGAGTTCATCATGACCAAGCTGGAGGCCGACCTGAAGAACAAGACCGAGCAGGATGACATCAAGCGGGCTATATTGGCAGTGTGCGACCGCCTGCCAGCCACTATTCGCAAGCAGTGCGACACCTTTGTCGAGGGTTATGCCTCTGCGGTCATCGATCTGCTGAGCAAGGTGCCGCCCAAGGAGGTGTGCCAGAAGCTGCAGCTCTGCTTTAGTCTAGCCATCACCGACGAGGTGGTGGAATGCGGCGTATGTCATGGCATCACCCAGGTGCTGTTGCCATACCTGCGCGAAGAGGAGAACAAGGAGGCCACAGCCCTGCAGATGACATCGACGGCCTGCGAGAACTTGCCAGCCAAGTACTACAAGATTGTAAGTTGTGATAACCCGATAATATACCATTTCTTTAAAATTTAATTAAATATTTCTCTTTTTTCAGTGCTCTGAGATGATCTCCATTTATGGCAACAGCATCAAGAACCTGGCCAAGCGCTCCTATGTGGACCAGGCTCATGTGTGTGCCGAAATTGGCAAGTGCTTTGACAGCGAGAGGTCTTCGCTGGCCTTTGCCAGGCTTACAGGTAAACTAAATACCTTGAAAAACCTTTATAAACTCTCTTTAATTCTATTATTTTTATATTTTTTTCAGCCTAAAATCGTCGTTCAATTGAGTGATTTGTTGTGATGCGTGCAAGAGACAAGGAGTAGAGGGATTAGGAAGAGGAGGAGAAGGAGGCGGCCCACGCTTTATATATCGCATATACCTTTTACATATATCTGTTTATACATTCTTTAACGATTTACTGTAAATGAACGACCATTACTTACCTTTGTTTCCGTACCCTGTTTTGGCTATAAATTTTTTAGGAGAATTTGTGATGAAACTGATTTTTAACCGGGCTGAAAATAAAGTGAAACTTAACTGAAACGAAAAACTAAAATTAACCCTAAGCAGTAACCCTAAATCGTACTACAAATTAGCGAAATCAAAAGCCACTAACTTTGTATGTCAGTCAGTTAAGCAGTGTGTGTAGTTTAAGTATATCAAAGAAAACTGTGTAAAATACAAACATTGATCTTATATAAATCATAAAGAAAATCTAAACATAAACAAAGCAGCAGTTCATATTGAGTATACCCCGAAATTCATATATTTCTTACCCAAAATGTTTGAAAACTCACTATTGATTATCAAACCGGATTACATGCACAAGCGGCGGCCAGTGCTCCTCAAGCTGCTGTCCGAGGGTTTCCAGCTGCAGGGCAATCGCAAGCTGTCTTTTTCTCCAGAACTAGCTGCCGAGTTTTATGCGGACTTTGCCGATGAGAAGGGCTTCATGCTGGAGGTGATTCTGCTCTCCAAAGGCGTCTCAGAGGCCTTTATTGTGACCAAAGAGAATGGCGTGCAGGATCTGCTGAACATCATGATTTGTTACTTGTGAGTTTACTCTGGGTTTAGCTTTCAACTTCTTCTCAGAGAAGTCTAAATCCTTAGCGGTTCTTGCTCGGAACTGGAGCGGAATATTCATGTCACCAAAAATAGCAGCTGCGTGGCTCGCGAGATTAACTTTATATTTCCAAATTGTAAGCTCGAGAGATCCTTACTTTTCCACCAAGAATTTTAATTCTACTTTTATTAGACATCCATGAGCCCCATCAGATGTTCGATCGGAAAAACTTCTGCACTCGCCCGATGCTAAAGCCTCTGCTCGATGAGATCTATGATATACTCCAAAACGAGGATTGCAGCCAGGAAAACTGGAAAGTTCGCGTCTCCGACTATTTGGTGCGCAGCAATCCCACGGTGCCGCAGGTCACCAACCAGTGTCAATTGAGCCCGAAAACAGGCATCCAGGAGAAATCACAGCAAACAAGCATGACCTATGCCCCCAAACCAAGTGTTGCGGGTGTGCCGCCCCGCGCCAAGAAGACCGAGAGCACCAGCTCTCCCCTGTCGTCCACCTCACCGCACTCCTCCATGCTGCTGTCAAGCTCGTCGTGTGTCACCTGCGGAGGATTTGAGAGGTCGGAGCCCTGTATCGAGGAACTGGATCTCAACAAGCGCGTGGAGCCGCATGACGCCGAAGAGGTCTGTGTGGATGAGGAGATTCTCTGGCGGGAGGTGGTTGTGTATGAGGAGATTCAGCCCGAAGAGGAGCAAGAGTCCAGAGAGGGACAAGACGTTGAACTCGAAGGTGAAGGTGAGGGCGGGCCTAGTGTGTCGGATGTGGAGTCGGACCAAAGTGTCGAACCTCCACCACCGCCAGCAAAAGATGAAGAGTCCAGCGAAGAGGCTGCTCCACCAGCAGCTGCTGAAGAACCAGCTCCACCGGCAGCTGTTGAAGAAGCCGCACCACCGCCAGCTGCTGCACCACCGCCAGCTCCTGAACCAGAGCCAGCTCCTGAACCACAGCCAGCTCCTCAAGAAGCTCCGCAGCCGGCAGAGGCTGAGGCTCCTGTTGTCGAAGAGGTTCCTCCCGCCGAAGAGGCTCCTGCTACCGAAGAGGCTCCTCCCGCCGAAGAGGCTCCTGCTGCCCAAGAAGCTCCAGCCGAATAAGCTTATTTGACCTTTGCACCTGTTGCCACACACCGTTTGTTTGTTTATTGAAGCATAGAAAAAAATGAGCCCCAAATTCGCGCAATTTTTGCAGCATCCCAGCAGCAACACGAACCCACTGCATCGCCACCACCCACAGCAACACCTTTGAATGCGCACTCGCAGAATTCGTCCTGCAGTTTTTATTTCCCCACCCGGAAAGTGCAGCAACATCAACAGGAGCAACAGCCATGGCAGCAACAGCTTTTGGCCCCTATTGTAAAAACATAGGCCAAGTTTTTTTCCCCCCCATTTTCAAGTGTCCAATAAAAAACGCAGAAAAATAGAACAAACAATGAAAACCCAAATATAATTTGTGGGCCAAAGTAAGCCTTGCATTTGGCACACTTTTAAGCCATGCAAAGTGGTTGCAATTAACCCAATTATGGGGATATTATGGGGCTGATTCTGAGAGGTTTTCAAATTTTGGGGCTGATTCTAAAGAATTTTAGATGTTATTTCTTGTTAGCCATTTGATCAGGAAGCTGTAGGTACATATATATTATGACTTGGGCATACAATAAATTACATAAAAAATAGTAATTTGTTATTCTTGTGTATCAATATCACTAAAATACAATCCTGTTTAAACTTTATGGTTTCAAGAACTCATTACTTTTAAATTTTCTAATCCGAACTTAATTTTCTAATGTTTTTGGTCAGAAATTAAGTATACGTTCCGTGTATTTATTAGCCGGGCAGGCTTCATATCTGCTAACAAAAAAAACCGGAAGTTCAGGCAGTTTAGTTTCGCCTTGCAGGACATGGGTACGCCCACCTGACGCAGGTGATTGTCCCGAACTAGGCTAAGCTAACGAAGACCTTTGCTATGCACAGTGGTCTGAAAGTGAAAATATATAAGAATCGACCTATGAATATTTGTAATTTTATAAATAACATTTTCTTTACAAAACCAATTTAATAAAATATTTCAAAGTGTATTTTTTAAATGCCAAAAATATTTCCTATAATTCACAACAGTTTCTAACTAGATCTACATACAGCTGCGGCAAAAAAAATAGCACTATGGCATATATTTTTCTTCATTGATTATTTGTTTTATAACTATTCATATATTTAACTTGTTTAAGGCTTTTATTTTTACTTTAGGCTCTAATTTATCGAAATACACTGCAAGTGTCGCCGATAATAACATGAAATTGAAATATTTACATTATGAATGTGAACGTTGAACATTTTAGGCGGCAACAAAAATAGCACTATTTCAAAAATAACTTAAGAAAACGAAAAAAAACGAAAAAAAATACGGGAAGTTCTGGAATATTTGTATTCATTTGTATTCCTTATCGATATAGTGTATTAATATTTCGTTGTAAAAGCTTTGGCAGCAATGACAGCAGCACAACGTCTCGGCATAGAATTGACCAAGTTTTGACACCTTTCCCGTGGAATACTGCTCCATGATTCTTGAATGGTGGCCCAGAGCTCCTGATTAATCCTTGGTTTTGCATTGGAAACATATTTTTTTTACATCAGACCAAAGATTCTCTATCGGGTTTAAGTCTGGAGACTGAGCAGGCCAATCCATTAGGTGAAGGGATCTGTCTTGAAACCACTTAGGAGCTTTCTTGCTGGTATGTTTAGGGTCGTTATCCTGTTGGAAGACCCACAACAACGGTATTTCGTATTCTGCATAAGACAGCATCACTGTTAGCAAAATATCGCAATAGACATGTTGATCCATAATACCTTTTATCCAATGTATTGGACCCACTCCGTAATAAGAAAAGCATGCCCAAACCATGATACTCGTTCCACCGTGTTTTATGGTCTTGCAGGTGAAACTTGGGCGGTATTCCGAATTGGGGGGTCGCCGTACATAGGATCGAGATCCTCTTCCTCCAAATAGCACGATTTTGCTTTCATCCGACCATAGGATGTTTGGGCATGCTTTTCTTATTACGGAGTGGGTCCAATACATTGGATAAAAGGTATTATGGATCAACATGTCTATTGCGATATTTTGCTAACAGTGATGCTGTCTTATGCAGAATACGAAATACCGTTGTTGTGGGTCTTCCAACAGGATAACGACCCTAAACATACCAGCAAGAAAGCTCCTAAGTGGTTTCAAGACAGATCCCTTCACCTAATGGATTGGCCTGCTCAGTCTCCAGACTTAAACCCGATAGAGAATCTTTGGTCTGATGTAAAAAAATATGTTTCCAATGCAAAACCAAGGATTAATCAGGAGCTCTGGGCCACCATTCAAGAATCATGGAGCAGTATTCCACGGGAAAGGTGTCAAAACTTGGTCAATTCTATGCCGAGACGTTGTGCTGCTGTCATTGCTGCCAAAGCTTTTACAACGAAATATTAATACACTATATCGATAAGGAATACAAATGAATACAAATATTCCAGAACTTCCCGTATTTTTTTCGTTTTTTTTCGTTTTCTTAAGTTATTTTTGAAATAGTGCTATTTTTGTTGCCGCCTAAAATGTTCAACGTTCACATTCATAATGTAAATATTTCAATTTCATGTTATTATCGGCGACACTTGCAGTGTATTTCGATAAATTAGAGCCTAAAGTAAAAATAAAAGCCTTAAACAAGTTAAATATATGAATAGTTATAAAACAATTAATCAATAATGAAAAATATATGTCATGGTGCTATTTTTTTTGCCGCAACTGTATATCCCTACTACTTTTTGGCTGATCCCCAGCCCACTGTGGTTCTATAAGCCGCCACCTCAGCAATTGAGTTTGCGAAAAGTTGTTGTTGCGGGCGCCTGTTTCAATGCCAGACCGTTCCACCGCTCCCAGCAACCACCCCCGGAAACGGCGGCAGTGGGAGAGATGATGGTGAGAGCAAAAGCTCTCCGAACGCCGTGCGCTATGCAATGCTTTCTTTCCCACCCGTTTCCCTTCCGATATCTGCGATTTCTGCGGCTTTTCTTCCGCGTTTTTTGTTTTTCTGGCTTTTTATGGCCGACGTCCAGGCAGAGCAGAGTTTATCTGTCCGCTGATTTCGCCGCCACAGCTCAGAGGCGCTCGTGTCCTGGGTCCTGGGTGCGGGGTCCTTCTGAAAATAACAAATAATTACTCAAAATAGTAGACACCGAAGAAGCTTTCGCCAGCGACTGCGCAGCCGGCGTAGCAGTCGCAGTCGCGGTCGACGGCGAGTCGGAACTGAACAGAACTGAAAGAGAATTGAATCGGTTTCGCAATACATACACAAACAATAGGCGCTGGGAAGTAGACGACGGCGAATCCTTGGCGGCTCAGCATTTCCACCGAATTCGCGTCGAGGAAAAGCGGAAAATCGGAAAAGCGGAGCGGAGTCAGCAGTCAGCGGCCATTTCGTATTGATTTTCAAGTGTGGTAAGCGGCAGCGTCAGGAAAAACGGTAGAAAAGACTCGGGAAAAACACAGTGAAAAGCCCACCAAATGGCAGTGAAAAGGGCGCAAGCAAATGTCAATGGCCAAGCGTTATAAAAAAAAGCCAGGGGGTGGTGGTGGGTTAAGGAAGTGCCAAAAAAGGCAGTGCAAAAAGTGGCTAAAAAGTTACCAGAAATCGTGTGTGAAAAGTATACCCCCAAAGTGCTGACCAAAAATAGTGAAGGAAAGCCCAAATTGTGCGTTAAATATAGCGCGCTTAAAAATAAATCCGGGCAGACACGGAAAAGCCCCAAACCTCAGGTTCAGAAAAGGCCAGAGACAAGAGGCGAGAGGCGGTAGGCAAGTGGAAGAGGAAGCCCAAAGAAGCGGAAGAGGAAGAAGCGGCCGGCATACACACACAACCACAAGGGGGTGGCAGCCCTACGCCCGCTAAAGGGGGATGGCTTCGGCTTCGACTTCGACAGCGGCCAAAAGCTCAAGTCACAAATTTTTGCGCAAGGGCAGGCCGCCGCACTGAGTCCGAGTCCGAGAGTCGAGTGCTTTTCCGAAAGGGGGGTGGATGCCGCCGGGCTCTGCCTCAGTCGCTGCCTCGGCCAGCGTTGACGCTGACGTCGACGAAATTTCGCAACACTCGCACAACACACACACACACGGCACACAATACACTCCCCCACAGTTTACAGTTCCAGCGCTCGTTTGTTAGGGGTGGCATTGCTTGGGTTCCGGGAACGTAATGGGAATGACACAGGCAGCGAAGGGAGAAGACGGTGACTTAAATACCCTTGCACTGATAGAGATCTATGGGAATATATATTATCCTTAATTCAATAATTAAATTAATATATTAATATTAATTGAAACACAAGCAATATAGAAAAAGGGGTTCCCTAGGGTTCGAAATAGACCTAGAGCCGGTTAACAACTGAATAACAAAGTAGGAAGTTCGTTAATAAACAATTATAACTGTAAATTATCTTATCTGTGGTGCTCCTGACTTATACAGATTTTTCGCTGTGCAATAGTAAAACCAACTATCTTGAAGTTCAAGTGCAACTATGGAACTATATTATGTAAGTAGGATCTTAATAAATCAGAACACCCTTCCGAAAGGGAGTATGATATAGATATGAATATGAATATGAATATATATTGTAATTTTAAAGAGGTTTCAAATCACTGAAATGATTCCCAAGTTTTAGTTGTAGAAACTATACAACTCTTAGCCTTTAGGGGGTATTACTTCCCCTTGAATACCGACTAACCGCTGTTTCATTCCATTTAAATCCATTTGATTTCATTCGTTCCCCTTTCCTCTTCCGCAGAGCGGCGCCGTTAACATGGACAAGATGACGGTGGCCCAAAAGAACGCATATCTCGAGGCCCATATGGCCGTGCAGCAGCAGATGGCCCAGGCGGCCATTCAGTTCAAGCAGCAACAGTCCTCCCAGCAACAGGGCTCCCCCACCACGGCCAACAACAACAATAACCAGCAGAATAACGGCAACATGCAGCAGCAGCAACAGCAGCAGCAACAACAGCAGCAGCAGCAACAGCAACAGCAGCAGCAGCAACACTACGCGGCCACAATCAAGGTGCCGCAGATCAGTTCCTCGAGCGCAGCGGCAGCGGCGGCCGGTGAGAGCACCTTCACCGTTCCCGACGATGGCATGGGATTCGAGGGCGGCGTCCGGGTGCTGCAGAGCCTCGGAACCTGGTCGGCGGCCGAGCAGCTCACCTACAATATACCCAAGCCGAACCTCATTCCCTTCACAGAGCCGTACGTTGAGGGAGGCTCAATGCACCCGGCCAGCCGGCTGAAGGCGCTGCAACAGGTGCAGCAGGCCTCCTCGGGGGTGCGCAAAACCAATCCCTCGAAGTGTGAGTAGTTCAAATTCAACATAAAATCTACAGATAGAATAGATACTTATTTCTAACCTCTTAATTTGTTTTCTTACAGCCACCAACAAGGCTTTTGAGTGCACGGTGTGCGGAAAAGGACTCGCCCGCAAGGACAAGCTGACCATCCACATGCGCATCCACACCGGCGAGAAGCCCTATATTTGTGAAGTATAAGCTGCCCTCGAGCCCCTGGTGGCCCTTGGCCATCTTCGGTGTGTCCCAATCTCTAACCAATTCCCTTCGTTTCTCTTCGATATTGCAGGTGTGCAATAAGGCTTTCGCCCGCAGGGACAAGCTGGTGATCCACATGAATAAGTTCAAGCACGTGACACCCACGAATATTGCTCCGCTGGGCAAGCGGCTGAACAACATGGTGAAGAAGAAGGAGCAACCGGATCCGCCGCCGGAGGACAACAAACAGAGCCTGGAGCTGCAGCTTCAGCAGCAGGCCGTGCAGGTGGCCGCCCAGAACATTATTGTGCAGTCTGCCCAAGGGGCGCCGGCGGCAATTCCCGGGATTATCATCCCGCACCACCAGCAACAGCTCTCCTGGACCTGCGAGCTGTGCGGAAGGATGTTCTCGAGTCGGGACGAGTGGTCCATCCATGCAAAGAGTCATCTGGAGGTGAGAAGATGTCGGTAGAGCCTCCTGGCAACACGGAACCAGGCAGATATCTTCGGAGTTCCTTAGAGTGGAGTTAATTCTCGTTCTCTTGATTCATTTCATGGTCTAGTATTGACAGCCGGAACGGTTAGTCGTAGAGTCAACAAAACCAGCAGCAGTGGCGGCGGCGGCGGCGGCAGGAGTCATTGCTAAGGCCGGCAACAGTAATCGCAGCTACCAGATGGATGCCAACCAGAACCAGATACAAATGGAGGCCCAAGCACGCAAGCAGAAGATAATCATACAAAATCAAATGATACTCAATGCCAGCCATCAGCAACAACAGCAGCAGCAACAGCAGCAGCAGCAGCAACAACAGCAGCAACAGCAGCAGCAGCAGCAACAACAGCAACAGCAGCAACACGTGGCCCACGGCAAGAAGGCAGCCAGAAAGCACCTGCAACATCTACAGCAACAGCAGCAACAGCAACAGACCAGTGCGCCTATGTACAATAACAATAGTAGTAGCAACCACACCAACAACCACAGCAGCCAGCAACCGGGCCAAGAAGTAACTACCTATTAACCACCAGAACATCAACAGAACAGAACAGCAAACACCAACAGCAAACAGCCCACAGCAACATTGAACACCTTTGACCCATGTAGCTCTACCGTATTCCGTATTATGTATAGTATTCTGTATTCTGTCACCCTTCCCTCGTGTCTCCCCTCTCCCCGCGAATCCAGGTGGCGGTTCCGGTGTCGCACATCATCGCCAACTCCCCTACGGCTGCCACCTACATGCAGGCCCAGCTGAGCGAGCACGCCGGCAACATGCAACACGCAGGGATGCCCATCGTCACGTATAACGGCAACCAGTACTGTGTGATCACTCGGGCCCCCGATCTCGACGTGGAGGGGATGCAGAAGCCACTGGAGTACGGCCAGGCCGCCAGTGGAGCCACCAACATTATAGTGATGTCGCCCATGCAACTCCTGCCCCCACAGCAGCAGCAGCAGCAGCAACAACAGCCACAGCAGCAGCAGCAACAGTAAGCCAAGTCAGGGAGAAAGGCTAACTGCTCCCAGCTATACTATAAATACAAATTGTAAATAGAGTCTTAAGCAGCCAAGAGCGAACCCAAGTATATGTTTAAACGCACTACCCAGTAGTGTTGGTTAGGGAGTGCTCACTGGATGAGTGAATCAATGAACAAGTGAATAAAAAGTGAAGAAATTAACAAGTAAACAGCTAAATGAACATGGTTCATTTAACTCACTGAAATAAGCACCTCCTTGGTTCATTCACTCCGTGAGCAACGCCCAACCCTACTACCCAGCAAAGGAATTTGTAAATGTCAGATTATACGCAGTGTCAGTCGAATCAAATCTAGTCTAAGCAACCTAACATATCCCCTGCAGATTGTAGTTCCGTGTACTATCCCCCTACCGTAAGGCAGCCACAACAGCCACACTGAGATATATAGATATATCATTTCGATGAAGCTCCAGATCAGACCCCGCAACTAGTAACCCCCCTACTCAGACCGCGTGTATATTGTATGTGTTGTATGGCATTGTTTGTACATTAAGCTAATTACGTACTCCAATTACGTCTTCTACTAAGCTCGGATCGAGGAGGAGAAGGCGAGAGAAAACGATAATGAAAATGAAAATAATATGAAAATGAAAACCAAATAAGTAGCAGTAGTAGTGTCCATCAGCAAAGCTCCCAACACATCTCCCCAATCGATTCCAATGGCAAACCATGTAAAGATCAAGCGAAAATAAATTTAATTTAATTAAATAAAATGGAAAAACTTTTTGAGTGGAATATGGGGGTGAATATATTTATGGATTTATGAGTTATTTTCTTGATAAGAATATTCTTTAAGTTCATTGTTTAATGTGTTCATTTTGTATATTGTTTGTAAGAATTGTTATATATTTCATTCAATGTTACTATTCAGTTTATTTATATTTAATTATTTTCTGTTAAAATCAACCAAGTATTCATAAGCATTAGCATTTATTACTAGTCATAATATTAATATTAATTTATTCATTTTCTTTACTCTTTTGAGTTATTCATTAATACTTATGAGCTATAAGTTTCCAGGTAACTTGTTTGTAAATATATGAAAAGCTTTTAAAAAGTTTTACTCACCATTTTTCTCCTGCACTTTTGTGGATACTTAGCGTTGAAATAATGTTCGTCTCCCTGATGTAAATCATGCAATATTACGTATACGCAATGTGGCCCATACTGAGCATCACTCGAGTGCCACTACACTCACTTGTGGCCAAGTTACGAATTGAAGCCATTAAAGCACCTAATAATTGGCAGCTGTTGTCGTTTATTATTCTCGACTGGCCAACTTTGGCGGCATTCTCGCTTTTTTGGGACAAAAAAGAAAAAAAAGACTGGCTAAAAGCGAAGCAGAAAAACCAAAACATTTGGTCAAACGCTGAGCTCACGAGAAGCAGCTTTTCGTTCCAAAAGTGAAAAATTCCGCGATTTGACCTTAGATGGAAACTCGTCGCCGTCGCAGCGCAGTCGCAGTCGCTGCCAACGTCGACGCTGCTTTGGCAGCAAATAAATTTCTGCCTCGAATGCTGTTTGCGTTCGTTTGCTAATAATACAAGTCATTCGTAAAGTTTGCAGAAGGGTATAGACAATTTTGGAAGATATTTGAAACTAATTACATCTTGAAGAATAAAAATTTTTAGTTTAAAATAAGAAATATTGGTGAAATTAACAAGAATGCAAATGGAGTTTACTTTTCCTTATTTCCTTTCTAATGAAGTAAATCTTTAAAAATATTTAAAAAAAATAGAAAACCTATAGTTCCTTTCATTTTCAACCTCCTTCTTTTACCCATTAGAGTATCTCTTAGTTGGAAAATTCTCAGCATCTCAATCTCGTGTTATTTTTTTTTCGCAAGAATCGCAAATTAGTCTGGGCCCCGATCGCTGATCACCTGAGCAAACTCAAAACTCGACTGCGAACTCAAAGGCGAACTCGACGCCTACGACAAATGACAGCGCTCACGGCGCCGCCAACATCTCCGGCGGGTTGTCTCTCGGCCTCCGCTGGATTCTTTGTGTGTCAGTCGGTTTTCGGATCAGTCGTAGTTCGGTCACGTTGACCAGCAGCAGTCATGCTGAACGGCAAGTTTTACACGGGTCTGCCGCCAAAAATGGTGGAGCGTCAAGCTGTAAAGGTGTGCAATCGCCAGGAGTCGCACTTCTTCTGGCCGGATGACTCTCGAGCGGATTCGGCGGTGGAGAACCGCGTGAAGAGGAGGAACAGCCAGCAGTTGGCTGTGGAACGGCCCCTAGAACGACTCTCCTCGGTCCAAAATCCCTCACCCACCGAAGTGGATACGCGACGGATGTTTCACAAGGAGTTTGCCAGCTCCTCCATTCAGTTCTACGACAATCTGCAGTCAAATCCCGCTCCTGGGCTGAGAAGGGGTACCCACCGGGAATTGACACCCAAGCTTACAGAAGTAAAGCCGCTGGAGGAAAGAATGGAGGACAAGTCAATGGTGGACGCCACGGCCAGTCGCCGCCAACAGGCCTACAGCTCCAAAATCCAGTTTTACGACTATGTGAACGAGGCCGATAATGCCACCCAAAATAATGTGCGGAGACCCCAGATGGACTTGAATGACAAGCGTGAGGTGGAACTCAATTCCAAGAACAGCCCCAAGCTCCAGGTCAAGCGGAATGTGCGCAGTTTCAGTGTGGAACTGGAACCAAAGGTGACCAAGAAGCCCCTCAACGATAGTCCTGAATGGCGACCCAGACCACGACCACTGCCCATGCCCAAGAAGATACTGAAGCAATCGTCGCTGCAGGATCAAGACTCCATGGACTTTCTGGACAATCGCGTGCGACGTTTGCAGTTGACGCGGAGTCCAGGGCTGCCCAAGAAGCATGTGACCTACAACGAGGAGGCGGCTGAATATGCCTACTACGAGGATCCGCAGGTAGATTTGATCCCGGAACCTGTCTACGAAAGTCGCCCTCGTCAGCAGCCAAATATGCCCACCGGAAGTCGCCATCAGCAGCAGCAAAATCAACAGTTCCAGCAGCAATATCAGCGTCAGCAGCAGCCGCGTTCGTTTATGGAAACTAGTCGGGCCAAGCCATTAAATAACAATAATAACTACCACCAGGCCAGCGGTAGGAAAATCTTGCCAAAATTAAGCGAGAGCCCAGCGGCAACTACACACATGCTGGATGAGGTTCCCTCCTCTGCTCCCGCTGCCGATCCCCGCAAGCACCTGCGCAGCAGCCTCTGCTTCAGCGGCGACGCTCTCATGGTGGGCGGCACGCCGGCAGCACAGTCAGCGCAGCGCAGCTCCGCCGGGCAGCGGATCAGCGTGGGTCTCCCAGATTGAGGCTCAATCAATTCTGCTTTGAATTGCGTGTTTAATCAGCTGCAGCTGCACAGGGAGAAATATCAGAGGTAGAAGTAGGAAAATAGAAATTGTTGCTTTAAAAAATTTGAGAAATGTTGAAGAATCTGGTTTTGGTAGCCAGAATTTGTCTTGAATATTCAAAAACTTATATTTTCTTGAAATAAATCAAGAAACATTAAAATTGTATAAAATTATGGAATAAAAAGATTTAGAATTTAGATTTTTATATATTTTTCCCTGTGCAGTAAAGTTGACACCAGAAAACCTGCAAAAGTTAATTGAAAGTAACAGCTGCGATTGCAGCAGCATCAAAAGCACAGCAAAAACACAGCAATCTCTGAAGGCGCGGCGTTGAGGCAACAACAGCCACAAACTTTGCTGGCTTTTATTTTAACGATCATCTGCCCAACTTTGAGTTCACCCACGAACGAATGAGTCGGCATTCGTTGAATATACATAAATACTACGTATATATGCACATAAACAAACCTTGATCTTGACTAATTTGTGAGCCGTCTGGCTGCCTTTTGCTGTTGTTGTGCAACCCGAACATGTATTAATTTAGACTTTTTAAGCCAACGCAGAATAATCTATAATTATTATAATAGAGATATGCTAATAAACTGATTTTTACATATAACCAAATGAACTTTGAATTGGGAATCATTCAATTAGGGCGAAGTCTGTTTATGGACTAAGTTACTTAGATTTTAGAAAGCCAAAACGAAACACCTTTTCCCAAGGATACTTACTTCAAATAGCTGCAGGTGTAAGCTTTCATTGAACCAAAAGTCATTAGATCCTCAATAGTATTCAATTTGGAGATAATATTAAATTGGTGTGCACTCAAAGACTGATTTAATCTGAATTCAAATCGGCCAATGGCCCCTCTAATAAACCGAAACAAACCTATGTTATTTACGGCACCCTTTCGTGCCGCCTTGTTTTATGGGATCATTTGAATTCCCGCCAATTTGAGAGCCCGGCATCAGGTGGAGTGCGCCTGGGCAATCAATTCATTGCTCTGGGCAGCTCACCTGGCCATGCCCAAAATTCCCAAAACCCATTTGCAGGTCCCTGCCCCAGCGCAACTCCTTTCACAAAAACTTTCAGCAAGTTTGGCCGAAAAAAGCGAAATCCGTTTGGTGGCATTGTTAAGACCCAGCGGAAATTCAAGTTGTCGTTCAAGTTGAAGTCCAAAAGCAAGTGCAACTCGATTCGCTCACAAGGAAGCGGGAAATTAAGCAAAGTTGCAACAAACAATTGCCACAATTGTCACGCGTGTTGAACTTGAGCTTGACCTTGGCTGTGTGGAAAGTGGGAGTGGGGGGGCTAGCCACCCATTGTCCACTTGTCCAGCTCGCAAATTGCAGCACATCCAGCAATCAAGCACTTCCAAGGCTTCAATTTAGTCGGGAATTTAATTAAAGCATCGCTTTAATTGCCAGCAATCTCCATCTGCCATGGGAACAGCAAAAAAAAAAACAAGCTGGAAAAAAGTGAAAAAAGAAAACTGAAAAGCGAGACACATGCGGACAGGATAAGAGTGCAAAATAATTGTGCAAATGAAGCGTGGTGAAATGTTATGCAACTCCCTCCCTGTTTCCCTGTCCAAATCGACATCGACATCCACATCCATTGCCATTTCTATTTCCACTTCCCCAGCTTCCACAGACAAGACAAACTGCCTCCGTATGGTATACATCTTCCGCATTACGATCGCGCATCCTGGCCACATAGAAAGTAGTCCAAGCGTGCCGGCAAAAAAGGCCAAAAAGCAAAGCCAGCCAGCTGGCTAACATTTCCTGGCTCGCTAGTGGCCCCCGCTGAACCTGAACTTCGGGCCTAAAGCGGCAAGCGTTTATTGGGTAACTGATCGGAATGGCTAATGCGCCGTGGAAACCCGTTTGCAGATCGTTTTCGATTCAAACGATTCGATAAGGCGTCTCTTCTGACCCCCAAGTGTGGGTGGATGACTCGCGGGAGAAGGCAAACAATGGGCAAACTGAAGAAAATAAAATAGTGTGGAGAAAAGAGGAAAACATTTACAGAAAATTGTGATTTTTTATGTATTCTTTTAGCTGAAAAAATAATTGGAATTAATTATAGGAACTTTAAGATTCGTGTAGTCTTTGCCAACGTTTGACTTGAGTAATCATTTTCTTTAAAAAAGAGTGTTGTTAATGATTAAATATTTTGACAATAAATTTTACTAAAGAGATCCCAAATAAAAGAAAGAGAGAAAGACTTTCTGCTTTGGTCATTTAATAAACTAACTGGGTGTTCATTACAATCAGTTTTATAAGAAACAATTTGTATTCGTATTTATATTTCATTTAATTCGACTCAATCTGTACATCAATAAAGGTAATCAAGCTCACACCATCCATAAAAAGTATCAATTTTTGCCTATTTCTCTTACCTATAAGTGCACTTTTTATGTATACAATTTGCTTACTTTCTTATTAAGTCACAAAAAGCAAAATGCCCGCAGCCCATTTACAGTCTCGGAGTAGCAAATGGCCATCGTTATGCGTAATTACGGCCATAAAGTAACATTTTATTCAAGACCCCATACCTCGGCGCATGCGCTCTATTTCCTACTGGAAATGCAAATGATGCCTCAGTTTCAGTTTCGTTTCCTCCAGCTTCGAGTTGTGAACTATAGTAGCTGTATCTCCAGTGGCAGGTCCATGCGTGAAGCGGAGATTTCGATCTGGTGGATACTGGCGGCGGTGGATACTGGCTGCTCACCTGGCAGGTTTCAATTGCGATTGCTTTGGCGATTGCAAAACATGTTGCGGCTGGCTTTGGCTTTGGCTCGAGGAAGCTGGCATAAAACTGTTGCGTCCGTTGGCCGAACTTTCAGTTTCGTTGGGGCCACGCTGGTGGTTGATGTGACTGAAGAGAGAGACTTAAATAGGAGCTTAGGAAACCGCGATCCAATCAAAATGCGACTTTGCTGCAATGTAAGCTGCTCTTGACACTTGGATTTACACACCTGAATTGACACTTAATCTGGATTATAACCTCTGGTTCTCAGTTCTGGGCTGCTGCCTTGATTCTGGCCACGGCCTCCTCCGGGCTGAGACCACCGAGATCCTACTACCGGAGGAGTTACTTCAGTGCCCTGGCTCCGGGAGCGGGACATGGACACGGATCGGGATCGTCGTCGAGTTCACTGCCTGGACCCGTGAGACTGGGATCTTCCGGCTACCTGCGATCCGATCTGCAGACGAACGAGAGCAAACATCGGCATGTCAGCAAAAAGTATCCCAAGAAGAGCCACTACAGGCCCTACGGATCGGTGAGTTATGGGAAAAGTTACTAAAGTATAAAAAAGCTATCTCTGAAGCTGCTAGGAAACTATTTTAAAACATCAAAAGTGTTTAATAATGTTTTAAAATGTGAATAAGAAATCTGTGAAAAGCTAAACAATTAAATAGAAACTTTTCAGAAACAAAAAGATTGTCGTGGCTTCTTTAGACGTGAAATATTTATAAAATACACCACCCTTTTTATAGCAAGAAGAGGATGACTACTCCGGCGAGCGCTACAATTCCGCAGAGTACTCCGCAGAGTCCTCCGTCCAGGACAGCCGGGAATATTCCATTGGCACGCAAATCCGCGTCCAGCATCCCATTACAGTGCCCAAAAAGGCGAGTAGCTCGGGATCTGGATACCCGAAGCAGCCCAAGTATGTGACAGCGATTCCCTACAAGGCCACTGGCTATGGCTCAGATGTTCACATTGGTTCCGCATCTGGAGAGGATGTGGGTCCTCCGCCCAAGCGCTCCAAGTGGAATCCCGTGCAGTACGATGCGGAAGTAGATCCCTTCCATTTGGTGCCCCCACCAAAGGCCACCGCCGCCTCCAGCAGTAATTCGTATAGTGTCTATGAGGCGGATCATGATGACTACGAGGTGGCTCCAGTGCCGCGACCAAAGAGCCATGATCGTTACAAGAATGTGGCCTCCAAAAAGCAGATCGAAGCCTATCTGGAGGACCAGCAGAAGCTCTTGGATGAGGCCATTAAGGTGCAACTGCTGAATAACCCCAAGCTGCAAAAGTTCCTCAAGGCACAGGCCCAGGAGCACGAGCACGAGTCACGCCCTGACCTCGAAATCGAAGACTTTGAGGCCTTTCCGCCCAATTTTTCGGGTCCCGGACCACTCCGAGGCAAGTACTTGGATCATCCACCTCATCCACCAAAAGGATCTCGATCCCGACGGCTTCCACCCAGCGTTGAGCTCCACCGTCCACCCAAATCCAAGCCGCTGCTGAAGCCCAAGCGAAAGTATCGATCGACGGCGCTGGTCATCAATGTGTAAGCAGCAGTCCGAAGTCCCTGCCAATCCACTAAATTAAGCATCACTTAGGAGTACGTAGATTAGTAGTCGTGTTGTACAGTAGAGATGTAAATAATAAAAGAGAATTTACTTTATTTGGTGTTTTATTGATTCATCAGGGAGTTGGCTAATATCACAATTCTTATGAAATGTTAATAACCAGATCCAAAAGACGTTAGATTCTTGGAGGTTGATTTATCCGAGAAATGAAATCACTCATTCTTGAGGTACTATATATTAAGGAATAATGCTTTTGTGACTCAATATTGGGATATTGAACTCATTGCTCAAACTACTTGCTAAAACTACTTCATGGCGTTTCAAATTTGTCATGGTTATATTGGGTCGGAGACTAACTAACCAAGTACCAAGAATAAAAATAAATCTGGAAACTTAACTTTTGTGCTATTTATAACACCATTGACTTATTAAATCATACACTGGGTCCAACAGCAGTTTACTATATAAAGAGAAGACTCCCCACTCAGTTCCATACTGCAATTCAAGTGAAAAGGTCACAATGAGAAACCTTCATATCCTTTATTTTCTTCTCGTACTGGCAGGATTCCAACTGATGGCTGATTCTGCACATGTAAGTCATTTAAAGAAAATTTAAAATTTAGGTAATTTTAAACACCAGTGAACAAAATATGTTTTTGATCATTTTAGATTTTTAAGTCAAGTGTTCCAAAAGGAGCTATTAAGCCAACGCCACGAGCTGACTGGATAAGGAAAAGACTTGGTAAAGAAAACTAAATTAGAAAGATCGTTGAAGACCCCGGCCGAGAAACGGAGCTATACCTGGGTTAATTATAAAAAAAAATCATTTGTAAGATTTGTAGAAATTAATAAATTAAAGATTTTGCCCTTTGTGTACCAATAAAATCAAAGATACATTAAAACTAAATATTTCTTCATGCTATTCAAAGTTCCATTGAGTTATTAAATGATCCCCAATGGCTAAATAGAATAAAAAGATCAAGGTCTATCCGAAGGACCAGAAGAAGCTCCAGGACTAGTCTGCAAAAGTTCTTAAGATTCTTAAATAATAAAAGATAATTTACTTTATTTACGTTTTATTTATTCGTCAAAGAGTGGGATAATATCATAATTCTTAAAAAATGTATATAACCAGAGTAAGAATATTATTCTGAGAGGCTTAGAGGTTAATTTATCAAAGAAATGAAAGTCTTGTATTCTTGGATCAATGTATATATTAGGGAATATATATTCCTGTGAGTCATTGCTGTGATGTTGAATTCATTGTTTTAAAATGAAAGAATGAGACGCTTATGAACCTTTCTGAAGCACCTGGCTTTCAAAGCTAAGATCTATGAGCTAATTCATATTACACTATGAACTAATCTGTCAATAGTGGAACAATAATGGAAAAATGAAATATAATATTTTTGATTCTTCATAACAGAGTTATTGATAGATATAGATTCTCAAACCGCGCATTTGTATGCTACTCTTACTCTCTGGTATTATAATGAAATTATATATACATTAATGGTTATAAGTTGTGAAATATTTTTGTAAAGCTTGTATATTCCAACTTTAGGATTACAGAATAATGTGTTAAACATTTATATATTTTTATTGGAAAATATTACCATATTAGTCGCATAATTTAAAGCTCTATTGACTCATACAAGTGTTTGATCAACCTAAGCCCTATATAAAGAGCAGACTCCTTGCTCAGTTTCAAACTGCGGACTCAAGTAAAGTGTTCAGAATGAAGAACTTTTATATAGCTCTGGCGATCCTAGTGTGGATTGGATCTCAATGGATCAGTGGGCAGCCAATGGCGTTTCATGATCGAAAGGTGAGTCAATTTAATTATAAAAACATGATAATAATAATAATACAAATAATGTATTTGCATGTTACAGGAACGCAGTATAATCAAAGCATTTGACAACAAACCCAAACGGTATCCCAATGGAACAGCTATACCAAGGTCTGGCTGGCTAGATCATCGAGGTTGGTAACGCCCAGTGCTGTTGAAATCCTGTTTTGCGTTAAAGAAAAGCTTGTATTACGGGCCTATCAGAATCTGGATTGCAGTTTAACGCAGAAAGTGAATCCTCTCAGATCCCTCTGATAGAGACTTTCACAAAGATCCATCTATCAAAGCCTCGCCTTGCCTCCTAGGTTGCTACGGCACTGGTAACACCTTCAGATAACTTTTAGAATACCTTAATATTTAACTATAAATCGTAATAAAGTTTTTGTAATTATTAAAAAACCGTACCAAGTACCTTCGTTGAAAACATTTATGGCATAAACAAGCTGGTTAACAGGTAATTTTCATAAAGACAATGAACATTTTGAGGACTACCCTATGGCCGATTCTGGGATCCTCCTGGCTGCGGCTCACCTTCCTCCTCCTCTCTGGATCCCTGGAGGCCACTGGGTCCAGACTGCTGGTCATCCATCATTTGGGACGGTGAGTAGATCTTCTCCTCAGTGACCAAGAGACTGTTCACCGACATCGAGGTGAACAAAGTGGAGTTGGGCTTGATGGCATACTTGCCCAAACGTCCGCCCCTTTCGCTGGCCACCGTGTCTGTGCGCAGGTAGTTGGCCCCCTTGGCGGTGATCACGCACAGATCGATGTTCGATCCGGAGCCCAAATCGTTGAAGACACCGGCCGAGATGGCCTCGCGCACCAGCTGCTTGCCCTCCTCAAAATCTAGATCCGGATGCCAGCCATGCTCCAGCACGGACATGGCCGCCAGAGTGCCAGAACCCATGGCAACGTATGGTATTTTGTCATTTGAACCGCACGGATAAATGCAGTAGATCTGCGGCCCCGATCTATCCACGCCGCCCAGCAACAAGGCGGCACCGATGTGGCCCTGGTAACGGAACAAGGTGCGGCGAAGAAGCATGCTGGCACAGACCACCGGCACCACCGAGCGTCCAGTGTTCAGGCTGTGCATGTCCAGCTCCGCGGAGGTCATCACGGTCATCATCTCAGTGTCGGCGGCGGTTCCAGCGCCACAACAGCTATACCGAGAAATACATAGATTAGGAATAGAAGCGGGATTAATTAAGACACTCACTAAATGTGGTTCTGCAGGTAGTGGATCTTGGAGCAGTTCTTATCGGAGACAATGGGTCCTTCGGTGGCGCGGGTATCAGCGCCCAGGATAACGCCATCGCGGTAGATAAGGCCCACGATGGATGTGCCAGTGCGCACAGCCTTCGGCGGTTGGTATCCCTGGGCCAGCAGTTCCGCATTTCTGGAGGGGAATCAGTAAAGCATCAGTAAATTGTTTCCAAGGGCATCGAATCCACTCACCGCCGGCAGTTGACGAAGTTGAAGCCGGAACGCACACCGGGAATATCCGCAGACTGGCTGGGAGTCGGGAGATGGTGGAGCATGGCGGGAATATATTGTGTGTGTGTAAAATCTATGTAATGTAAAATGGTTGGGAAATATGTTGCCAGTGTTATGAGTCGCTTACAAAGACAGTAAAGCCTCCGACATATGTGTTTGGTTTTAATTTGGTTTTTTAATAAACATTTGTGACTATTAATTTGAATTTTATGATTGAATTTTGAGCCACACAATTTTTTTATGACACTTTAATGCGATTCCGAAATAATAAAGATTTCTCAGAATTTTACTCTTATCAAACAAAAATATTCTGCAAGGGGAGGGCATAGAATCAAGGAATTTCTGAGGAATTTCGTATCAATATAATTTAAAGTTTTTTTTTTGTTTATTTACTCAGCTTTAAGCACTATATAAGGCGTAGATTTCTCCATCAGTTCCATAGTAGAAGTAGCCAGAATGAAAAATCTCTATATAGTTTTGGGTCTCCTTGAATTGACAGGATTTCAACTGATCGCTGGGTCATGGTCAGATGTATTTCATACAGACTGTGGTTTCCAGCCACATTTGAGTCAGGTAAGTAATTTAAAAATTTTATTAATTTAAAACAAAGATAAATATAACATGTTTTTAATCATTTTAGCACGATATGGAAATAATGATGGAGTCGTTGTCTACTACAACGCCACAACCTAGCTTGTTTGACCAAATTAAGAAGAAACTAGGAAGAAATTCAAGAAGCTGAGCTATTTTATAAGATTTGTGGAAATGAATTAATTAAAGTTTTTGCCCATTGTGAACCAATAAAATCAAACATACCTCAAATCTACTTCAAAGCGTTTTTTATGATTTTGTGGGAGAGGTGAAAGATGCTTATTTTTCTTTAAGCAAATTATAATACCCTTATATCCATTAAGTTGCAGCTGCTCAACAACCCCAAGCTGCAAAATTTTGTAAGGTTCTTAAATAGTAAACAACAATTTACTTTATTTGGTATTTTATTGATTTATTAGGGAGGTTGAAAATATACATAATAATTCTTAAGAATTTTTAATAACCAGAGCCAGAATATTATTCTGAGACGTTAGATTCTGGGAGGTTGATTTATCCGGGAGAAAAAAGTCACTCATTCTTAAGGTATATATTAAGAAATAGCGTTTTTGTGACTCAATATTGGAATATTTAATTCATTGTTCATTCAAAAGAAATGGACAGAATGAGAAGTTTTTGACTCTTTATAGAGCACTCTGCTTTTAGCGCTTTTCTATTTGCAATTGGGATGTAACTAAATATTACACCATGAATTATCAATAATGCTACACCATGGATATTTGTGATTCTTAGTAACAGAGTTATTTACAGATTTTGATTCACAAACACCGTATTTGGTGTTATTATGAATTATAAAATTACACTCACGCTTTACATTAATGGCTGTAAGTTGTGGAAATTTGTATGAAGCTTGTGTACTACATATTTAATTATTCATATAACGCTAACTCATAGTTAAAACTAAAAGTTATCTTATATATATATGAGCATTGGCTGCTGTGGCCTACCGCTTAACAAATTGTTGAGGTATTTATGTTACATGTTACTATATTTAGACAATTGAAACGACTACCATATCATTAATTTAAAGCTCCATTGACTCATTTAAGCATTTACAGAACCTAAGCCCTATATAAAGAGCAGACACCTTGCTCAGTTACAAGCTGCGACTCAATTAAAGTGATCAGAATGAAGAACTTTTATATAGTTTTGATGATCCTAGTGTGCTTTGGATCTCAATGGATCAGTGGGCAGCCAATGGCGTTTCATGATCGTAAGGTGAGTTAATTAAGCTATGTTAACAAAATAATACCTGTATACCAATAATTTATGTGCTTGTGACAGGAACGCGCTCTTATCGGATTTGGGAACCACCCCTATCGGTATCGCAATGGAGCACCTATACCAAGGCCTAAATGGAAAAAAATTGTTGAAGCTCGGAACAAATTTTTAACATATCCAAATAACTCTTAGAATATATTAATATTTTATATATTTCTATAGACTTAATAAAGTATTTGTAATTATTTTTAAATCGTACCAAGTACCTCGAATGCAAACTTTTATGGCTGGTTAACAGGTAATAAAGACAATGAACAGTTTGAGGATTAGCCTACGACCGATTCTGGGATCCCCCTGGCTGCGGCTCACCTTCCGCCTCTTCTCGGGCTGCCTGGAGGCCACAGAGTTCCGACTGCTGGTCATATATCACTTGGGATGGAGAGAAGATCTTGTTCTCAGTGGCCAGAAGATTGTGGAAACGTGGAGTTAGGACCCTTTCGTATGGCATGAATATATTGTGTGTGTTCAGTGTGTGTAAAATATATGTAATCAGGATATCAGGAAAATTGTTGCCAGTGTTGGGAGTCACTTACATAAAACAGTAAAGCCTCCGACATACTTTGTTTTTCAATAAACATTTTTTAATTATTTTTTGGAATTTTTTTATGACACTTTAATGCGAGTCCGAAATTGCATTGATTTCTCGGAATTCTTCTCTGATCACAAAAGAAAATATTCTGCAAGGGGAGGGCACAAAATCAAAGGTGAGAAATTTCTTATCAATCAAATTTTAATGTTATTTTTGTCTATTCACTCAGCTTCAAGAGCTATATAAAGCGCAGATTCCTCAAACAGTTCCATAGTAAAACTCAAGTGAAGTAGACAGAATGAAAAATCTCTATATACTTTTTGGTCTCCTTGTATTGGCAGGATTCCAATTTGTGGCAGGTGAGGTAAGTCGCTTAAGAAATTGAAAAATTCCAAGTATTTAAATAACTTGAATTTCGCAAAACTGCAAACATGTTTTGGATAATTTCAGACCTTTGTAGATCACAGGGGTAAATATATTCACATATCACCTAGACACCCAACAAAACAAAGTTGGGAGACGAGGCCCAAACGAGTTTTTACCTGAGGATTTTCAAAGAAATCATTCCTTGCTGAGTTTCGTAATGCAATTTAAGTGAAGATGTCCAATGAGAAACCTTTATATCCTTTTTTTCTTTATATATGGCCAGGACTATCGTCTAAATCTGCATATGTAAGTCATTTAAAGAAATTTAAAATTTAATTTAAAACTTGTTTTTGATTATTTTAGCTCCACTTCCCAAAAGGAATTAGGGATCACACTGGACGCATTCATAATAAATACGCAACTCACACGCTCAAACCAAATAACACTCGAAGATATACAAAGAATTCGGGAGGAGAGGCCTGAAACTGAGCTTTTACCTAAGGATTTTTACAAAATAGATTTCATTTGTAAGAGTTTCGAAAATAAATGAATCATTTTTTCTTTGTGTATTAATGAAATCAAATATCCTACTCAGGGCGCTTCAAAATTGACATGGTTAGGTGTTGAGAATAAAAATAAATCTGGAAACTTTCTTGTCGTGCTTTTAACAGCTCCATTGACTTATTAAATCATTCACTGAGTCGCAAACGAAAAATACTATATAAAGAGCAGGCTCCTCTCTTAGTTTCGCATTGCAACTCAAGTTGTTAGAATGAAACACATTTATATCTTTTATTTTCTGCTCATATGGGCAGGATTGCAAGTGATGGCTGTTCCTTCATATGTAAGTTATTTAAAAAAATGTTAAAATTTAATTAGTTAAACACCTGTAAACAAAACATGATTTTGATCGTTTTAGATATCTTTTGGACCAAATTTTCCTACTAAACCAAAGCCACGATCAGGCTGGTTCAACAGGTTTAGAAAATAAGACGAAATTATAAAGAAATTCCAGGAACTGAGCTATTTTCTGCGGAATATTAAAAAATATATATATTTATAAGATTTATGAAAAATTAATTTAAAAAAACATTGTGCCAATAAAATCAAAAATACACTAAAAATACTTCAAAGCATTAAAAATTTTACAAGTTTAGTATGGGAAATGTGAAAGATGATTCATTTTTCCTTTACATACATATATATATTTATTTTATAATATTCTTATGACATAATATAATTTGTATTATTAATACCTCTTGAAGAGTGCAGAGTGAAGAGAGCGGAGAATAAATATAAATACGGTGAATTTCTTATCATGCTATTTAAAGCTCCATTGACTTATTTAATCATCCCCAAAAGCTTAGCCCTATATAAAGAGCAGCCTCCTCACTTAGTTTCGCATTGCAACTCAAGTGAAGTGGTCAGAATGAAAAACTTTTATATACACATTTTGCTTCTCGTCTTGGCAGGATTTCAACTGATTTCTGGGCAACAAGAATGGCAAAATACCTTAAATGTGAGTCATTTAAGAATAATGAAAAAGTTCATTAATTTACGGCACCAGTAAACAAAACATAATTTTGTTCCTCTTAGATATCTACTGGGCCAAATTTTAGTGTTCCACCAACGCCACGAGCTGACTGGCTTAACAGAAGATTTGGAATATAAAAAGAAATCCAAAAGAAAATCCAGAAACTGAACTTTTCTATACGGATTATAAACAAATAAAGAGCATTTGTAAGATTTGTGGAAATTAATTAATTAATTGTGTATATTAAATCAAAAATAAAATCACAAATACCTTAAAACTACTTCATAGTCTTATAAATTTGGAATTGTTATGTAGGAGATGTGGAAGATGCTTAATTTTTCCATTACATGTTCGGTTAGCAAATTATAATAACCTCATATCCTATTATTATTTATATTATTAGTAACTCTTCAAGTGCCGAGAATAAAAATAAATCAGGAACCTTATCGTGCTTAAAGCTCCACCAGCGTAATAAATCACCAACTGAGCCCCAAGAGCTAAATACAACATAAGCGATGACGATGACGACTCTCCACTCAGTTCCATATTGCAACCCAAGTGAAGTAAGTGGTCAGAATGAGAAACTTTCATATACTTTTTTTGCTCCTTGTATGGGCAGGATTTCAACTGATTTCTGGAAATCAAACTTATAGTATCAAAGATGTGAGTCATATAAGAAATGAAAAATTTAATTAATTTAAGACACCAGTAAACAAAACATGATTTTGTTCCTTATAGATGGCTGCGTCGCCAAATTTTAAAGTTCCACCAACGCCACGACCTGATTGGCTCAACAGAACATTTGGCAAATAAAAAGAAATTAAATAGAAAATCCAGTAACTGAGCTTTTCTAAACGGATTTAAGCAAATAAAAAGCATTTGTAAGATTTGTGGAAATGAGTTAATTAAAGCATTTCCCCTTTGTGTATATAAAATTAAAAATAAAATCACAAATACCTTAAAACTACTTCACAGTCTTATAAATTTGGCATTGTTATGTAGGAGATGTGGAAGATGCTTAATCCTATTATTATTTGTATTATTACGGACTCTTCAAGTGCCGAGAATAAAAATAAATCAGAAACCTTTCTTATCAAGCTACTTAAAGCTCCATTAGCGTATTAAATCACCAACTGAGCCCCAAGAGCTAAATACAACATAAAGAGACAACTCTCCTCTCAGTTCCATATTGCAATCCAAGAGAAGTGGTCAGAATGAGAAACTTTCATATACTTTTTTTGATTCTCGTATTGGGAGGATTTCAACTGATTTCTGGGCAACAAATTTGGCAAGGTACAATACTTGTGAGTCATTAAAGAATATTAAAAAATATAATTAATTTTAGACACCTGTTCCTTTTAGATATCTACGGGGCCAAATTTTAAAGTTCCACCAACGCCACGACCTGAATGGCTCAACAGAACATTCGGCAAATAAAAAGAAATTAAAAAGAAATTCTAGTAACTGAGCTAATACGGATTATAAACAAATAAAAAGCATTTGTAAGATTTGTGGATTTCCATTTGTGTACCAATAAAATTACATCGGATATACTTAATTTTGCCTTAACATTTTCAATTGAAAACCTCGTTATGATAGCCTTGTAACCTACAAGTATATTAATAATTCATTATTCTTCAAGTTTCATAAACAAGAACAAAGAAAAGGGGGCTCTCTTATCGCTCTCATGTAAGTATTTACTGAGCGCCAAGATCGATTCAAGGGAAAACTCTGTAATCATTTCCATATTGGAACTCAAAGTGAGATGGTCGGCATAAAAGGCATTTCCATATTTTTGGTGCTCCTTATCTGGACAGGAATTCCAACTACAATGGGGCAGCAGCAGCATCTTGGAGTTGATTTTAAGGAACCAGAGGTAAGCCATATCCATTGGTGTTAAAAACCTTTAATTTATTCAAATATCCGAATATGCAGGTTATTGAATACACCGCATTAACGCCATCGGTGAAACGTTTTCCCAATGGCACAGCCATACCAAGGCCTGGGGGTCGCTGGAATTTAAGGAATCTACTTATTAAAATAAATTTTTAAAATAAAAAAAAGTATATAAATAAATATAATATAATATAAATAAATAGCACATAAAGAGCACAAGAGTCCGATCTTTGCGCTGAAGCGGAACAATTTTAATTTAACAAATAATAACAATTCAAGTTAACAAATAATGAGTTTAATGTTGATTAAGATGACTTTTTAATACAATGTTATTTAAAAAATTGTGGCGCCTAAAACTAATAGATAATATATATGTATATAACACCGACACCGTTCAGCAACTGGACCTGGATGTGGCACTCCTCCGTCCGTTTCATGGTCGAATGCCCACATACGGTTTCATCGAAGGTGTCAAAGCCAGTTGCGGCGGCAGGGCTCGGGTTTTGCAGCTTCCCCATCGATAATTGATTAATTGCTAGATCTAGGTGACTTGATTGGCTGTTGGTACTAACAGGTGAGTAATACGGTGGTTTCGGCTTTTTTGGCTTAGGCTTCTCCTATTCTACCATAAATGAAATGTAAAATTGCGACCAACGGCTTTCTGCAATTATAAAATTAAACACAAAATTTAACATATTTTAATATGTATACATTGTATTTTTGTGATGTACTTACTTACTTAACTGCTAGAGAGACCCTCGCACGCGGTGAGCTCGGATACAGAAGCGTTTGTGCCCTGACATCTGTTGGTTCGTCTTGGTCAATCGGCCACAGCCGCACACGTACTTATACTCAGATTTGTTGCACTGCTTTTGGTGATTGAAAAGTCCGACGGACGTTTTGCACTGCTCCAAGCAAATGGAGCAGATATACCGAGCCCTTCGCCGTGTCGGCTCCTCCTGCAGGAACGGCAGTGCTGCACTGGCACTGCACGCCCCTTGATCCTCGGCCTCCTGCGCGGGCTCCTGCAGCAGTGTTGCACCTTCGTTCAAGATTTGCAGGATCTCCGCCTCCAGCTCGGCCTCATCCTGGTCGGAATGCACAGGTTCCTCCCGCGCAGGAGGCTCTTCCAGCAGTGTTGCACCTTCGTTCAAGATTTGCAGGATCTCCGCCTCCAGAATCTCCTCCTGCTCGGCCCTCACTGGCTCATCCGCCGCGGGCTCCACCTGCTCGGCCTCGGCGTGGTCAGCCAGGATCCCGTCTATGTCGAGATCATCTTCGAACGCCGTCCCCTGCCGCAGAGCGAGTCCTCGCTTGGTGATGGTCTCCATTTTAATCGACAGTAAATTGTACGCCTTTCTTTTTAGAGACACCAGCTGACTGGCCTCTTTTGGGCCGGCAGCCGCAATGATACTTGTTAAGGAGCGCTGCACACCACCCGTTCCACCTCCTTTATTTCAAACAGGATTCTTGTCCTGGCGGCGGCTGGGATGCTGTCCGTCATGGCGCGGATGGTGGCGAACTTTTCGGCTCCGTTATTTTGGCGGAACACCGCGTTGATGGCGTTGTTGTGGACCGCCTGGAGGACGACATCAACGTAGACCATGTTGGTGTCCATCCTCTTGATGAGGTGGTGGAGGTCCACAAGCACGGGGTACCCCGCCTCCACAAGGAGGGCATTGTTCGTTCCTTCGTCTGCAACGATGGCCAGCAGGTGGTCCTCGATGCCCAGGCCTCGGAGTTCGTTGACCACTGCCAGCAAGCATTCCAACACCTCCCGAGCATCAAACTGTCTACTTATGTGGACAAACAGGTCACTTAGGCTATATTAGGCTTTGTGTGGATATGTACTTACGGCTTTCGTGTAGACCACCTTCTTCAAGGAGCCGTCCTCCGTGGTGGCCAGCATGAGCACTATGTGTGCTGCGACAGGCTGCAATAAGGGGATATAAGTTGACAACGTTTTAATAATGGGTGGGCGGGTGAAAAGAGGGCCCCATCATGGGATATAGTACTCACCGTCTTTAGGAATATAACATCAATCATTATAAAGAAGCACCTGTCGGTGGACGCCGATTTTTGGGCCTCCAACGCCGGCCACGATTTCCAGTTGGTGGGTTTAGTGTGCCCGCAGTTGTTTGCGATAAAAACCTCAGAGCGTCTGGGCACACTCGAACGCGAAACCCTCAGATCATTGAAAGTCTGGTACCGAAAAGTCTGGCAACACTGGTCGCTGGGACCGAAAAGTCTGGCAACACTGTTTTTGAATAATTTTACAATCTGTGGAGCCCTCTTGCGGTACCTACTTGAACTGAGCAAACATTTTGTACCAAACTTTGATGTACCTGAAGCGGTTCGTGTCTAAGCTGTTAAAAGAGAGTACAATTAGAGCTACAACTAAAATTGAAAATCAGGTTTATCCCACCCACAGAATGTCACTGAAACGATCAAATCTTGGCATTATAAAAATACCATTTAATTAAATTTCCTTAATCTCTGAAAACAATTAAAAAAAAATATATAATAAAAAGGTATTTTAAAATGCAAATCATTTCATTGTAAAAAAAACCTTTAACAGGTAAATATATTTAAAAAAATCATAAAAAAATATAATAGAATTCAAAAATTAAAAAAACGTTTAAATGAATTTATAATAAATACTTATTATTCTCTTTAATATATAAAAAATTAATACAAATAATTAGATATACAAAAAATATATATATATTCTTAAGAATAAATATGAGTATTGGTTGCAAAACACTGCAAATGTTATTTATTAATCAAACTTTTTATTTTTAAATGTAAGGAAAGAAATTTCAATTTGCATTAAAAGTTTAGAATAATCGTTTTAAATTTGAAAATTAAATTCAAAAGTAGATCTTTAAAAACAACCATACCATACCTATCGGCTTAATCTTTATTATATTTTCTGTGCGAACTTGTATTAATCATTACCAATAAGAATAACCGCCCAAAGAGCACTTTGAGTAACACACCCGTGACACCTGTTCCGATTAGAGCTTAGGTAAAAATTCTAGACTTTTAGACTTTTACCTCTTTCGCAAAACCCGATCGCAAAACGAAAATCCGCCATTGAGCAAGACCAGCCATTCGATCCAAATGGAATCGATTGCGATTGCCGCAAAAGTGGGTGCAAAAAGGGGCACGTGAAGAGAAAAAAGAGAAAAAAATATTTAAAAAAAAAAGGTTAAAAAACAATAAGCGAGAAACAAAACCGAATTGATTTTCTTAATTGACTGAGCAATTTCAACAGAAGCCAGAGCCAAAGCCGCGCAGAAAGCCATGCTGAGCCGGACCCGAGCTCAGTCCACAACAAAACTGACCTTGAAAGCCAAGCGGAGCTCTGAAAAGTGTTGCTAATATTGTTAGCAATTATTGTTAGCTAATGTTGTTGCTGTTATTGTTGTTGCTGGTGGTGGAAAAGAATGCCAGCCGGCGGTGGATGTGGAAAGTACAGGGGGAGAAATATAATGGCAGTACTTGAAGGGATAAATAAGTTAAAGATAGCATTAAGTAAATTAATTATTCAAGAATATTTAAGAAGTTAAAGGTATAGATATATTCCTTTTTAAATGAAAAATCATATACGTAAATGGTACCATTTCTTTTTTATTATTTAAGAAGTCATAAATCTATTATAAATAAGAAAACTGTAATTAAAATTGATGGTATCATTATATTCCTTAATTAGTTAACAATTATATAAGTAAGCAATACTTTCATTAATATTTAAAAATAATAATTTGTTATTTGTTGTTTGTTTTTTAGTTTTTTACACTGTGGCAAATTTAAATAATGAACTAACATTATTAAAAGTCAACTTTGCTTTTAATGCTTTGTAATTGATAAAACCACAAGTTGGCTTGACAAAATATAAGAATACTTTATTATATATAATTATAAAAAATTACACACAAACCAAGTAAAATTCATATATTAAGATATTTAAACTAAAGTTTATGAAAGAAAAATCTATTATTTCTATTGTATAAAAAAAATTAATCCATAATTAATAATGATTGTTTTTCATTTAAGCTGAAAATCCTAATAATTACCTATCATAAGTGGCAATTTTTAGAGTATACAAATTGAATTCTTTTTAGAATTTAAAAAGAGTGAGGTGCAGGCATTGTTGCGTTCGATGGGGCGTAAAATTGAGCAAAATATTTGGATGTAATTAAGCCGCCTTAAGTCGCCCCAACTGGAGCCTGACGAATCGTATAAAGCTCTGGCATTAGGAATTGATTTGCGGCACCACTCCCCCGCCTGGAACTGCTGTTACACATGGTTTTCCGGCTCAGGCCACACACACACACACTACACACCCACAACCATGCTGGGGACGGGCGCCAAGTTGATTTCATTTTCATTGGAATTTTGCACAATTGGCCAAGATTACTGTCAAATGGGCGAAACCAGTTTGAGGTCTTTCCTTGTTGGTCGCATAGAATCGTAACAGAAACCGAGCCAGAAATGAAAAACTAAAAAAAAACTAAGGCTGGAACTCGTTTTGCATGTACGAAAGTTGGTTGTGTAATGCTGCAGTTGGAGTTTCATGGGGCAGCCAGGGCGGGGATGCAGCACTAACTGGGCGTTCACCGCTCCGAGGTGTCTAGATAAATCTGTTAGAAATTAAATTAAGACTCGCCAGAGAATTTAAATTCGGTTATAAATTAATTTATTATTAATCAAAGCAGCTGGAAATTGTTTTAATTGGAATTAAACTCCTTTGAAATCAAAAGACTGAGGACACAAACTTGATGTTCAATATCGTATATTTACTTTTTAAGTTTATCTATTATACATATTGCTCAGACGTCCCAAGGCCCAAAACTAAAAATTGTTTTGATTGCTTTAAAATTGGATCAACATCTTCGAAGTTTATTAGCTTTACTTCGCCAATAATTACAAAATCCATTCTTTGGATATTTTGAAAACACTTTCGTCCAGCAACATTTTTGAGAGTAAACAAATAATATTTTAAAATTTTTAATTAGCAACAAACCAAATTAGGAATGATGCTATATAATTTTCTCTGTGTAGGATTATAAATTACAAACAGTACGCATATAGGAAGTACGATATATAGTTACAATTTGCTCTTAAACATATCACACAAGAGTTTTGATGGAGTCAAGCACAAGTTATACACACAGAGAAAATACTGAACCAAATTATATCTAAAATGATGGGAAAAAATATCAATTTGCTATTACAAAAATATCAAATTGATCTTTTTCACATCACTTTGATTTGTCAATATTTTCTCTTGTGCAGAAAGAAAGAAAGTTGAAGAATTAAAGAATTAAAGAAGGTCCCTAATGAAGAAGATGCAGCGTGTCTGAGTGGGAGGATCTCCTTGACTTCGTTAAAAGGAAGATCTTAGACCTTGTTGAAGGAGTAAGTGAAGCCGTCGGGCGTGCGGTTCAGGGAGAGCTTTCCAGGCGGCGAGAAGCGATGGGGATTGGGCGTGGTCGTGGGATAGTACGCCTGCTGCGGCTGCTGCTGGGGCTGCTGATACTGAGGCTGGTACTGGGGCTGCGGGGCAACGGGCTGGGGATTGTAGGTGGGCTGTGGGGCAGGGCGGTACTGTGGCTGCGGGGCGGGCTGCTGGTAGCTCTGCTGGTTCTGTCCAAACGAGGGATCATTGTACCGGGGATCGTAGGAGCCATCATCGCCATAGTCATTGCTGCGGAAGGCGGGCTGAGCCTGGGGAGCGGGAGCCTGATACTGCTGGGGCTGGTACTGCTGCTGCGGCTGATAGCCAGCCGTGGGCACGGGCTGTGGTGGTGCAGGAGGTGCCTGAGGCAGGTGGTCACCGGAGGCTTGGAAGCTTAAATATAAATGAAATATAAATTAATATTAAAACATAGGTAGCTTATAAAATATTTATATAATTTCAAAACTTGGATATTGTCATAAGTGTCACCTACCCATTCTTGCCCGCCGTGTACGAGATGGTGCGCCTTTGGCCCGAGGGATCCACATAGCTGTAGCTGCCGTGACGCGTGCCATCCGCATCCGTTTCCTCCTTAAAGTTGATGCCATCCTCCTGCTCATAGGCAGCTCCGAACTTGCCATCTCCGGAGAGATAACGCTGCTCACTGATGATGGCCGCCGTCTTGGGGTCCTGGTGATAGTGCTGGCTGGAGGCTAATGCCACCAAGGTGGTCAGTGCAAGCTGCAAATAATTTTTCTGTTGGTTATTTGCTTACAAAATGTATTGGAAAATACTACTAAATATGTAGCGAAACTTAAATTTATTTTTTAATATTTGAAAATTACTTGAAAATGTGGGAAATATATTACAAAGTTCTTGTTGAAATGTAAAACTGAGTGTTAATGATTTTATAAAATGTTTACTTATATTTTTTGTAAATTTAAAAATCCTTTAAAGACAAACAAAACACCATTTAATCAGCACACAAAATTGACAATTAATTGTTGCAACAAATCTCCTTTCGAACTAATGTTTAATAATATTTTCCTCTATTATATAAGGCCACTCTCTATAGAACACAACTCACAAATCTAAACATTTTTGCTGCTACGAATTTGGAAAATCCTTGTTTAAGCGTAAACTGCACTCGATTTTATGCTCTCTCTCGTTTTGGATCGAATAGGGGGATTCACACGCGCCTTTACGCTCACAAGTTGGGTCTACTGGTCACTGGGTTAACTGGGCAGCGGATCGAGGACCGACGGCAACGGATTTGTGGAGTTAACTGCCTTCCGCAACGGCGCCGCCCAAGCTTTTTATAGTCCGAACGGGAACCTTGGGCCGCCGATCGGCTCCGCCTAGGCACTCGAGTCGTGTAACTGTGTTGGTTACTCGTACCATTAACGCGGTAACAGCAGTAACAGCGGTAACAATAACAAGAACCGAGCTAAGTGCTCCAATAAGTCAACTTTAGCCCAGGCATCGGTATTGGTATACCAAGTCGTTATACCAGTTTCGATCTCTTTCGCTTGGAGCGCCAACTTTTGCTTTCTACTTGGGCTCCTATATTCGTACTATATATGTACTACAATTTATATATATATGTGCATTATGCACTCGATTCCCAAGCCCAAGACGAAACTATTTTTTAATTATCTCAAAAGTTTTCCAGCTCCTCATCTCTGTGGCGAAAACCTGGAATTATCAATTGGTTCTGCTGCTCGCCACACAGCCGAATGATGCAATTTTTATGGCAATCGTTTAATTAGATTGTTGAAAAAAATATAAAACAATGTTGAGGGAAAACATGGGCGGCTTGGTGATGTATTTAATATATTAAAATGCGTACCGTTAATGTGTCGGTAAATATTTACAATTAATTGGCATAATTTGTTAAGGAAAACCTATGTTTATGAATGATTAAATAAATGCTTTGGCTTTGGAAATAAATTGAAAAATAGGCAGTAAGCTTTGTGAGGTTCATAAATTTGAAATAAAAATAAAAGCTTAAACCTAAATATTAATTTAAAAACCTCTCCTTTATGCTTAAAAATATTATTTATTAATAGTAGCAGCACGAAAGTCCTACAATGAAATGATTTACTTAGCAAGCAACTACCTTCGTATTTATTTATTATTTATTACTTCTTTAGAGCCACTGAAAAACGTGATTGTATTCCTAAATTTCCTAATATTTTCCCAGTGTGATGAGCCTTTTGAAAAACTGTCGATTTTGATGGATAACTGGACCGCCTTCTGATCAGCGAGGGCTTGGGAAATTCACCAAATGAGCGTTGTTAAGGTTTTTCTTGGGAGTTTGCTAAACAAACAGTTGTGTTGTTCGGCTCTCGGCTCTTGGATTTGCATTTGCATTCGGCATGTGCATGGGCAAGTTGATTTATATCTAGATCGGACTTTGTGTGGTGTGGCCAAAAGCGCTTGGCAACAATCACCGTAGTTGCTTTTGGCTTGTTGCAGCAATGTGTTTGACTTGTTGACTCCGCGCTGGCTTCAATTATTTATTGTGTTTGAAATGTCTGGCATTGTTTTGGGCTTGTTTATGGCCAACAGTTGGTTGCCACCCACATGCTACATGGCTGCAGCCCCTTCGTTCCCCTTTTTTTGCATAATGTTTGCAAAGAACTTTGGGTTTAATTTTTGATCAGAAATGGATCTGCAGGCCAAAGAAGGACAAGTTTTAAATAAAGTAATAATATTTTAAAACTTAACTAAATTATTTTCTATATTTTTCCAACCTCCTTAACATCCTGTTAATGGAATGAGAGATCATTTAAGTATGCAAATCGGTTTTTCATATTTTAATGAGCGATTTCCACACGGCACACTCTTCGGCTCAAAAGAGCCGCATGTGGTCGGAGTTCTCGAGTAGCAACACTCTCATTTACACCGCTATTTGCCCTTTTGCAAGTCGCCATCACGAACAGCATCATCATCAGCATCGGCATAATAGCCATCATCCGCCTCATCATCCGTCGGTTTGTTTGTGTGGCCAAAAACAGAGAACGCCCTCTCGCAGCGGGAAGCGTGAAGGGAGTGGAGAGCAGAGAACTCAGGACACAGGACGAAGGATAAGGGAGTAGGAAATTAAATCAGTTGACAAACAACAACAAGAACAGCAGCTAGAGCCATACATATATACTATATGTACGAGTGTTCTGCAGCAGGGAAGCAAGAGCAGCGGATCCAAGGTGAAGTTGAGCATGGCCGGATTAGCTTGAGGGTGTTGAAAAGGAGGGTTGAAACGAACTAGCTACAGTCAGACCTCGATTAGGAAGAAGTCTAGGTTAGCCTTAATAATTTAAATAAATTTTTTAAACCAATTTTTGTATATAAATTAAATTAGTCAACAAAAAATTGGGATATAAAACAAGAAGGTGAAACAGCCCTTTTCATAAGATAATATCTTTCTGTTCTTATCGAATTAAATGTTTAAAAAGTAAAGACAAATCACAAATCTACTTTACAAATTAAAGAAAAGGTTTAAAACATTCATTAAAGCTTTTTCTAAAAGAAAACGTGATGGTATTTTATGGAAATCATATTCTAAAATTGCTTAAAATCTTCTACAAACTTTCCCTTATATTTTCCAACTTAAATTTCCAATATACCAATCCTCACTGTACTCTGAAAGTTTCCTTCTTTCGTGTGGCCTCTCTGGCTGCTGCCTTTTTGATTTCCATTTCGATTTCGAGGCGTTTGCCTGATGCGACGATACCGCCACCCAGGAATATGTCCTGTGGAGGGAGTCCTTTCAGGAGGTTGATTTTGTTGTTATTTCTATTTTGATTGCCCCGCATCCCCCTTGAGCCAGCGAGATACCATAGCCCTAGGCCCATTCAACCTTCTATTTGTCGGGCTTTCACTTTGGCCGAGTTAATCGCAATCGGCGAACAGATAATGAGGGTTAGTTTCTAAGGCGGAACGGGTGGGGATGATCAATGCAAAGCAGGCCATTTCCAGAGCCAAACGGGAACAGCCATAATTCCGCGTTGTCTCTCAATTATTTCAGCTGCTGCTGCTGCCGCCCTGAGTCAGAGATTCCGGAGACCCAGGTCATGGAACTACCACCACTGCCGCCGTATAATAAGGCTGGCAGACAATTGCGATTATTTGTAATTTAAGATGCAGTCGAGCGTTCTCTGAAATCGAGCAACCGAGTCAACATCGCCGCGCGGAAGGTTAACAAAATTTTAATGCTAAATGCTTATCGCCACATCATCATCTACAATCTCCATCTCCATTTCCATTTCCACATCCACGTCCATTTCTATTGCCAGAAGCAGAAGTCAAAACCGAAACTCGCTAAACTTGTTGGGAAATACGATCCATTATTCCCGGTGGAAAGGATAGCAAAATGCTGAGTCTGAGATGGTGATTTGATAGCTCTCATCCATCTGATACATAGCTGACCCGGCAGACTCGTCAAAAGTCAGTCGAAGAAGCCAACTAGGCACTGAGGAAATATTTTATGAATTTTTTAGTTAATATATAACTAAGGAAGGTTGGGTAATACCCTTTAAAATATATTTTTTGTTGACAAAAATTTTAAAAATAAATAAACATCTTGTGGTTTTATAATTTTATTTCAAAGAAAGACCCTAGTTTTCTCGTTAAACTTAGACAAAGTCATGCTGAATTTTTGAAAATTAAATAATACATTTTTAAAATATAATTTTATGATTTAAAATCCATTTTTCCCTGTGCATAAATGCTACAAATTCAAATCCTCTTCTCTATCTCTGTTTCCTATGAACATGTAACCCGAGATGAACTCCTAACTGCCGTGTAAGTGCCCGCTAATTGCGCATCTGCTGAAATTTCACAGCGCATTTCTCTGAGTCATTTTCCAGGCATTTTCCTTGGCCAAGGTTTCGCTTACACTCCGTTTGCCGTTTGACTTTTCCGCCGACTTAGGCTTGCCCAGAAATCGCTTGTCGGATTGAATCGGATCGCATAACCAACGTGGTTTATGGTGCCACTGGACCAGTTTCCAGTTTCCCCACACGCATGCACACACACTTGCCCTGGGGGCAATATCAAGGTCATTGGGGCTGCTGCCTTCGTTGCGTGTGCGGTATTGGGGAGAAGGAAAAACGTGTTTTTCGCGCATGCGTAGCGGTTTTCGCACTGCACCCGCAGACTTCCGCATTGGGGGGGACATGGTGTGCGTGTGTGTGTGTTTGGGAATATGCAAATCGAGTTCGGAGTGACGTCAGGCGCCGCTTGAGGTGGATATGGGAGTGGAAAACTGTGCACTGCGGGAAAGATTTATTGTCTAATTTGAGATTTATAAGGTTTGGTCTTAAGGTAAGTCAAGGAATAAGATTAAAGTTCAAGGAAAATATTGGTAAGATATTCAAAAACCGCGAAATACCTAAGAAATTAAATGGGTTTTAAGTTTAATAAATTATAAGAAGTTAAAAATAACTTGTTAATTAATTCAAAGGTTATTTTTACACATAAGCTTGATTTTTCAGTTAAGAAGTCTCACTTTGTTAATGCATTTACTTATTTATTTAATAAAATTTAAACTACATCTTCTTTGACTGCAAAATGTATAAGCAATTATTTAAATCTTCCTGTAGTTTTATTTTTTGCAAATTATCTGCCCTTGTCCTTGGACTGTGTGGCATGCCACTGCCCAGTTGCTGGTTGCAGTTGCAGTTATTTCAGTTTTCGAAAGTTGTTTTGCAGCCACCCAAATTGTTGACCTTCTCGAAGGAATATCAGTGCATTGAACCCAGGAGTTTCATATTCGAATTCTTGTAGGAGAACTTTTCCACTTCCAGCAGCAGCAGCAACACTTATCCGAAGACCAAGAAAAATCTGCAATAATTTAAATATCATTCAGAGGTCTATTTTAAAAGCCGCAGCTACGTGATCAAATCATTCGAGGCAAGAAGGTCACTCACAAATGAGACAATTAAAGCCATGTTGACATCTATTCATTGGCAAAAATGATTCATGATTTAACGCACATTACACATTAATTACCAGCGCTGACAAAATGCTATTAACCAATTTTGATTTCCATGCATAATTGCGTTTTCAATGTCGAGTGAGTTTTAGTTTCAGTTCCAATTATGGATCAGATTTCGGTGTGACATGCAAACAAGTGAACGATT